ATATACAATGGCTTTTTTTTATTGGGACTCTTCCATAAAATCACATTTGTGCAGTGCATGACCAATAGTTGTACTGTGTACAGATTCCCCCACCTGAGGTGTGGCTATCTCTGCATTTGGTCCACAGCAACCAGGGACCTCTTGGTTGCATCTCTGATCATTGCTTTTATTCTTCAGCCTGTAAGTTTAGGTGGATGGCCTTGTCTTGGTAGGTTCACAGCTGTGCCATTCTTATTCCATCTCCAGATTATTCATGGAACAGTACTCTGTGAGATGTTGAAAGCTTGGAAAACCTATTTATAGCCTAAGCCTGATTCAAGCATCTCCACAACTTTATCCTTAACCTGTCTGGTGTGTTCCTTGCACTTCATGATGCACTTGTGCACTAATATTTCCTTACCCAACTTTTGAGACAGTCATAGAGGAGTTGAATTTTAACTGGAATTAGATTACAAACAGGTGGACTATATTTAGTCATTAGCAGTCATCAAGCAACTTCTTAAGGCAATTGGATGCACTCAGCAAAAGGCGACTCAACACTTTTGCCACTTTTTAGCTTTTATTTGTAAAAAAATGTTTTGAATCATGTATAGTTTTTTTTCTGCTTCACAACTATATACCACTTTGTGTTTGTCTTAACCATACAATTCTGTAAAAAATATGTTTGGGGTTATAATATCAGTATCAAATTTATTCATATAGCACTTTAAAAACAAGTAATAAAATATGGAAAAGTTCAAGGGCTAAGGTTACTTTTGCAAGCCACTCTACTTACAAATTGTAAGGCAAGTCCAATGAGAGAAACAAGGCCCAGACAATCAACAGTTATGTATCGAGAGTTATCATATGCCCTGCTGAGATAATAGGATGGAAAAAGGAGGAAATTCAGTCCGCTGATATAAGAATACAAAAGCTGATGATGATGTATGGAAAATTGTGCCACTCAAGGTTGTAGCACATTGGAGTAGCTCTGTTCTTTCATTGAGAATTTTATTTTTACACTTATATTGCTCCCTTTCTGGAGGAAAAATAGTTTTTGTTTGGACAAAAGTTCATTTTTGTTTTGCATACTGTATATTTGGACTTATTTTTGGAAATATTTTCATACTTTTCTATTTAGCTATGGTTATGCATCTTTACTGGATGCATAACCATACCAACATGGTGTTTTATAACAGAGAGCAAACAATGCTACCAATGGAAAGAAAGGCTTAGACTGAAACAAAGCACAGTGGCACATATGCAAGTCCCTATCAGAGCAATAGCGGCCCAGATCTATAACATCCAGCAAGATCTTGGGTGCATGCTATGCAGAGTCCCCTTGCATCTAACACCAGGACGTAAGATGGTAGCATGATAAGAATACATGGAACGCCACAACCAAGTACCCAGAATAGAGTAAAGAAACATCTGAAGGGAATACAACCTTGAACACACCTTGTTTAAAACAGGAAATGCCACACAAGGTGGTAGCAAATAAACAAGCAGAGACCCTGTGGTACTTCCAGATACAGAAAGACAAAATGCAAAAAGTCAAGCAACTAGACATGGTGATCACTGAGCAGCAGAGAAAAGCAGTTGTAATGATGTGGCTATCCCAAATGAACAGAAGGAACAGAAAAAACTAAGAGAAATACCAAAGGCTCAAAAAAGCCTCATCCTCCGAGGACCTAAGAAAAAGTTTGCCCACATCAGTGGATGACTTCTTTTGGGTTGTGTAGTCCACAATACTAAATTTTGCCCAACATGGGGTTTGGTGTCCACATATTAGGTCATTATTTTATGACTCAGTGGTGGTGGAATATTATAACAAATTACAGGTAAGACCCAAGATGGTCAGTGTTTATTGTTGTGGTGTAAGTTTACAAAAAGTTAGCAACTGTAGAGATTTACCATCTAAACATGGTGATTTAAAATGAATTAATGTTTTTATGAGAAAAATAATATCCACATATCATGTAAAAAGATAATTCTTTGTTGTTGGAATCATTAGGTCCCATTCAGCCCAAATATCAAAGATGAATTAATAATGCATGTCATGCAAGAGTTTGGGTCTTAGAGGTTAAAAAGAGTGTGGCTGTGGTCACTGAAACCCTTGGGGTAATGACCCCTAAACTGGAAGAGTAGCTCAAACAAATACCTGAAGATGCATCAGACCTCTTGAGACAGAGAAGCACACCTTTGGGAACTGCTAACATACTATGAAGACCACTCACACTCCAAGGCCTGCGGTAGAGGACTCAAGCTTTTTTAAATTTAATTTCCCTTTTTAGGATCAATAAATTTGAAAGACAGTATAACCACTCATGGAGTAATACAGAATTACAAATCTAAAAATAAAAGGCACAAATTATCCTAGATAATTATTAGTAATAAGATAATGTTTTATTTGAAGGTTTTGAACCTGTCAGTAGAAAGCTGAACTTGACTGCACTCAGAAACTCATTCAGTCATATAATTCAGGGTGATCTTTTCTTTTTTGTTTAGCTTTAGTGCTAAACTAATAACTAGCTGGACTAATAGATTAGTGGAGTTAATTGCTAATTATTACAGAAAAGAATAAAAAATTTAACTCAGAAGTTGTAGTTTAATTTACTTGGGGATTTTGAAGAGTCAGTGGCTTTTTGCTTAGTGACGGATATTTCATCATTCAGTATATTGAGTCGGCCAAAGCAGATGGAAACTGTGATACTATCAAAAGATGATAAACATGCAAAAACATGTTTTATGTAAAATTATGAAGGTAAAAAATGTAATTAGTCCATCAGAGCAATTAGAAAAGCCAGAAAACCTGCTGGTTTATTAAAAATGCACCGCAGAAGCCCGACCCGACGATCAAACTCAACTTTGGGCCAACCGGCTCGAATTTTGGCTCCGAGCTGCAAATGTTGAGATAATAGTTTAGATTTTCATGCATGCATGTTGCTGCAGCAACATAAAGGGGATGGTAGTGTTTAATATGCTAAATAATAAATGTTTTGAGTTAAATGGGTCTAAAATATCTCAGCTCTTTGAAATAAACAACTTTTTCCAGCTTGCACTGAAGTTTAGATTCACCCTGAAAAACCTGGTTATGTTGCAATAAAGCTGATAATGTTGCTGACGCTTCAATCCAGATTAGCATCACTCAGCAAGCTCACGGCAGCACACAGAGGCTGAACACCCAGATTAATGTCTAGATTTCTCTCTCTGCCTCTATGAAGCCTTTCTGCTCTGATGACCAAAGACAGAAAAACAATAATTCAAATATTCCAGATTTATAATCTGAAATGTTCCAGGAATCTTCCTGGAGGAGAAACTGACCACTTCTCCTCCCTCTGCTACTTTCTCCTACTACTCTCCATCCTTGCTCCAGGTTTTCCCTAGAAAACTTGCTGCGTCTGGTTTTCGGGGCACTAAGACGGTCCACCGTGTTTTTGTATTAAAAGAGAGGAAATGTAAAAATATTACAAGGTAATTAAATGTTACAGGAAACATCGGCAGTGAAATGCTATTTAAACCCACAACCATAGAGTCTTAAAAACATCAAATCAAAAACTACGATTCAAATGAATATCAATTATTTGCTCTTCTGTTTAATCCACAGTCAGCCTGCGGCTCCATAAGGCCCCCAGGGCTTCGGTGGCCCCAGAAATACTAATATTTTAACACAAACACATAAAGGTAACATTTGTTTATTAATCAAAGCTGCTAAATTTAATAGTTTCAACATAAATTAAAAGATTTTAACTTTAAGATTTTAAAGTTTACTGTGTAAAAGTTTAAAGAATAATATTCATAGTTAGATTGTTTTGTTCCCATGTCAACAATCTAGAGATGCTGATGTTTCTAGCAGCAAGAGGGGCCCCAAAGTCAAACTCTGCTCCAGGCAGAGGGGACAAAGCATTTGGCCTGGTTTGATGCATCGTGTGACAGGAAAAATAATAATAAATCATTTAAAACCAGCGTGATGCTGGGCTGAACCGCTTACCCAGTAATGCACCGGCCAACTGGGACCAACTGGGACCAACTGGGGCCAACTGGGACCAACTGGGGCCAACTGGGACCAACTGGGGCCAACTGGGACCACCTGGGACCAACAGACATAAACTTTACAGTGCAGAGAGAGAACTGGTCGCTGGGCGGCGCACCGGGCCGGGGGGCGGGGCTAAAGGCCCTTTATACCCAAATAATAAAGCCCATGATAATATAACTTTACAACATAGACAGAGGCAGGCGCCGCATGCGCAGCGTGTCGCAGAACCTCCTGCACCTCTGCATGTTCGTTGCGTATCAAACGCGCCGAATTACGTTCACACAGACTGGAAGATGCTCTTCCAGGCGACTACAATCTAAACCTTAACTATAGTCGCCATCCTGCTGTCTTGGCTCCACGCGCTCAACCCCAACAGTTGAGAGCGACTATAACTCAGCCTTCAGTCCCTGATGTCACCGCTGTTCCACTGATAGAGAGAAAATGGGATGTAATACGGCTTTTTCAAAAAAAGAAAACAAAATATATATGTTTTATTTATTTATTATTTTCCTGGTAATATAAATAAGCAACACTTAGCCTGGCGGAGGAGCCAGTAAAGCCTGGCGGGCCTCCAGGCTTATCAGACTCTGGGGGAAACCCTGCTTGCATTTTCTGCAGTTATTGCTGACATCAGGTTTATGTTCTCTCTCTGTTTCTCCTCTTCATAGCAGCAACACCTGGGCTCAGTTCTGCTCAGCAGTGACTCCTTCCTGCAGGGAAGCTGAGCTGCTGCTGCCAACAACATCAGGTTCCCCTTCAGTGGATGAAACACACCTGGATCCACTCCGGCCACTTGCAGAACAAGCACTGAACTAAACACAGGAACAACAGAGACTGGTGAAAGCCTGAAGCCCAGTATGAGCCCAGTATGAGCCCAGTATGAACCCATCTTCACCATGAGCTCCTAGGAAGGAGGCGTTTTCTCTGAAAGCAGCCAAAGACGTGAACTGTGACGTTCAGGAAGCAGCAGATAAAACAGCTTAAAGTAGGAAGTCTTCAGAGTCTGGAGCCTCATCCTGATCACATCAAGAGACGAAGCTTCGCTCCACATTCAGAGGAAACATGGACCAAACAGCTCTGATGCTGCTGCTGTGTCTCTGCAGCTCAGGTAGGACTCCACTTTCACACAAAACACTGATATTCACTGGAGTTCAAGTTCAAAACGATCGACTGATAAACATGTTAAATTTTACTATCAAAAACCTGGAAACTGTTTCTGGTCTCAGATCGTAGAGCTGCTGCTGCAGTTAGTGATGTTTATATTGTCTACTTGCTGCTAAGGAGCCAATAACATCAACAGTTGTTGGTTTCAGTGTTTTGATGAAGTAAAACACTTTGAACTGCCTTGTTGCTGAAATGAGCTATAAAATTAATCTGATTGATTGATTGATAAGGAGAAGCTGCAGAAACTCTGCAGCGGCGCTGAATCTGCGCAGGAAACAGGTGGAGCCGCATAAAATGGCTCCTTCTGCATGAATCCTCTCATCTTCCTCTTGGCTCCACAGGTTCTCTCTGAGGTTCTGGTCAGGCCCGTTTGCTGGCCAACCGAGCCCAGTAGCACCACGGTCACTGGACCAGCTTCTGGTACCGCTGGTTGTGCTGGTGAAAACGATGTGCAGATTAATCCTCTAATTGTGGTGATTTTCTCTAAAGAAATGTGCAGGCAGTTTGGCTGCAGCTCAGGTGGTTTGTGAGTCTGTCAGCTGTAGCAAATGAAGCTCAATCATTGTTCATGTTCTGCTTTATGAGCGTTTCCCTGCAATGTTAGTGCAGACGTTGGAGATTTCACCATAAACGTGACGTTGAGTTTCACTCCGTTGACGTTCGGCCCCAACAGAGTCGTCTTGCAGATCTATAATATACATCTGTGGTTTCAAAGGTAACAGTGAAACAATCAGACGGGGCCACATCAGTTACAGAGACGCTGGAAATATTCACAGCCTGCCTGATAAGCAGGTCCATAATGTGTCCTTGATGACGTGTTGCTGGGTTAACATGTGAATTAAAGCAAAATGATCAACAATATCACAGCTTTTAATCCCCTCTGTCTTCAGGCTCGTCAACATGCTGTTGAAATCTCCCACAATTATTTAACTGTCAGAATCAATGAATATAACAGATAAAAACCCATTAAAGTCAATAGAGATGTTTTTCCACATATGATGGGATTTTGCATAGAGTTAGCATCAGAGCTCATTTATGGACTTTTACATAAAAACAATAAATTTGACTTTGGTTGGTCTCAATAAAGACATCAAGTATAAATGGGTAGAAAAGGAGAATAATGAGAAACATTTCAGGTCTTACTACAGAGCGTACATAACATTTCAGTCTGGGCTTTAACTAGGCCACTCCTCCAATAAGGTGCTGTGATCAGAACCATCCATGACAGCTCTGCCTCTAAGAGAAGATAAAATAAACACCATCAACAGGATCCTGTCATCACATCCTAAATCAATCTGTCTTTGCTTTTTCTAACCCAACATGTAAATGTTGTTTCTTCCAGCGCTGGCTGATGAACTCAGACTGGTAGCAGGAAGGAGTCGCTGTGTTGGCAGACTGGAGAAGAAGGAACTGAGAGACTGGGAACCAGTGAAGTTTTGGAACAAGAACTGGAACTTTACATCAGCAGCTGGATTTTGCAGACAGCTCCACTGTGGATCTGTGGTGGCGTTCCGAAGAGATGAGAGCTACTATTTAGAGATCGTCTGTTCAGGTGATTTCATATCCTGGCCAGTGTCTTCCTGTTCTGCTTCCAACTCCACTTTAAAAATATTCTCACTTCCAGCTCAGTCTGGGCTTCTTCCCCTTCACCTGGATTCCCTCTGGTAGATTTTCTACTGGACCAATCAGTGAACAGAAGAAGTTTGAATGATGACCTTGATTTGCTGTTATTGTAGAAACACAGTCTGTCTGTAGTTTAATCAATGGCAGTGGAGGAAGTTCAGTCCATGTTGGTCACACTTTCAAATATTGAATGAACATCAACAGTCGCCTCATTGGGCTCTTCTCTGTTTTGTGGTGGACAAATTATTGTAAGGTAATATCTGCTGGTTGTATTGTCTTCATCCTAAATGCCAGTGAACTTTCACCAAATGAAGCTGTTTGGTTTGCAAGCACAAGGTTGGGAGATGTTTTCCTGCAGCTGCATGAGAACCAGCCTTGGTATAAAACTCCTGTTGTCTCTGCCTGGGAGTTTTCAATGGGAAATGTTTCACTATAGATCGTCTGATCTGCTCTCTGTATTGAGCACAATGTGCCAATAAACCTGATTGAGTGATTTCATATATCAGTGCTTGGTAATGGACAAACATTAGACACTGGGTGAAATTTAAAACCTCAACACAGTCCAGACTCTCTGGATGAACCAAAGTGTGGAACAGAGCGGCTGGTTTTTACCAGGTTAGTGACTGAATGAAGTTTGATTAGATTAAAGGGGAACCAGTGGAGCAGATTCAGGGCTATAAAAACCTCAATGTCACTGAGAAGAAGCTGATCAAATGTTGCACTTCCTCCACAAATTAAGTTCAGAGAGTTAAGATGATAGTTTTCTATGATTCTGTCATTAAATCTGTCATTTGCTTTGTAGAAAACAATGATAAAATATTAATAATTGATCATTCATAGGTTCTTTGTGCTGTTCTAGTGTAATTTTCTCTCTGTCTTCAGTTTTTTTCCATTCATCTCCAGGCCTGCAGTAAAGGCAGATGCTAAAAGTGCAAAGAATATTAAACATGAGATATAAAAATAATAAACTCTTCCCAGCCCCCCTCTCCGCCCGTTCTCCACTAGTTGGTTTGTTCCTCCACAGAGTCTGAACTGGATTGTAGCTTTGCTGAACAAACTGGAACCAAATTCAGTGAAAATGTTGAATTAACTTTTTTCTTTCTGCATCCACAGATTCAGTCAGGCTGGTTCCAGGGACCAACCGGTGCTCAGGCAGACTGGAGGTGAAGACCAACCAGTCGTGGTCCTCAGTGTGTGAAAAAGACTTTGACCTGCAGGATGCACAGGTGGTCTGCAGGGAGATTGGCTGTGGGCCTCCTTCAGTCCTCCAGGGGGCGCTCTATGGAGAAGCAGAGGCTCCAGTGGGGAGCAGAGAGTTCCTGTGTGAAGGCAGTGAGTCTGCTCTGCTGAACTGCAGCAGCAGGAAGAGTTCAGGTAGAAACAGCTGCTCACCTGGTCAAGCTGTTGGACTCACCTGTTCAGGTAGAGGAGGATCTGCAGACCTGCTGCTGTTCACTGCTTCACTTCCTTCATTAATGAACTCTCTGTCTCTGCTCACATCAAGACAACATCAGGTTGGTGGGAGAGGCCAGTCGATGTGCCGGGAAACTGGAGATGTTCTATCAAGAAGAGTGGAGACCAGTATATGTTTGGGATCGTTACTGGAACATGAACTTAGTTGCTGCAGTTTGTGCTGAACTGGACTGTGGTTCTGCTGTTTCAGCAAGAAAATCATATGAAGCTTCAGAGAGATCAGTTTGGTGGATCAGGTCTTACTGTTCTCAGTCAGGATCTGCATTAAAAAACTGTTTACCTGATGATGTAACCAGTATTCAGAGCCGTGAGATCATCTGCTCAGGTAAATCTGAACTCATATTTATATAAAATGTTTCTTCCATCAGGTTCCAGACGTCTGCAGAGAAACCGTCACCTTTAACTAAGAACCTGAAGCCTTGAGGGAAACTAAAATCATTTAAATATCCAGATAAAGTTCTCAGTTTATTCCAATAGATGAACAAAAACTCATCATTTTAATAACTTTTAATCTCTGCTGCTTTGAAGTCGATGCATCAAAATCCCAGGAGTTCAAGGAAATCAGACATGTTTAAACCCTGAAAATCAACAGGAAATGACTTTTGATCCAAAATGGTGGACTTCCTGTTTTTAGTGGAAATAGCAGGAAAACCTTTTGTTTGTTATGGTTGTTGGCCTGGCTGAACTAGGGGGCGCTGTTCAGCCATATTGCCACATTTATTTTTAATTCCTATGAAATATTCACATTTTCACAGAGATTAAAGTTTGTTAGACATTTAGTGAGTTTATGATCATGTTAAGGCCCAAAAATGTGATAAATTCAGCAGAAATAATAATGAATGATAAACTTGCAGGTACAGTCGGTTTCACTTCACTTTGTTTTCTTGACCTTTATTTTCATCAAACTCAGAGATGTTTCCATGAGTATCTAGAAAAATAAAGTTCTGAAATATTTTAAACTTTTTTCTTTCTGCATCCACAGATTCAGTCAGGCTGGTTTCAGGGACCAACCGGTGCTCAGGCAGACTGGAGGTGAAGACCAACCAGTCGTGGTCCTCAGTGTGTGAAAAAGACTTTGACCTGCAGGATGCACAGGTGGTCTGCAGGGAGATTGGCTGTGGGCCTCCTTCAGTCCTCCAGGGGGCGCTCTATGGAGAAGCAGAGGCTCCAGTGGGGAGCAGAGAGTTCCTGTGTGAAGGCAGTGAGTCTGCTCTGCTGAACTGCAGCAGCAGGGAGAGTTCAGGTAGAAACAGCTGCTCACCTGGTCAAGCTGTTGGACTCACCTGTTCAGGTAGAGGAGGATCTGCAGACCTGCTGCTGTTCACTGCTTCACTTCCTTCATTAATCAACTCTCTGTCTCTGCTCAGATCAAGACAACATCAGGTTGGTGGGAGAGGCCAGTCGATGTGCCGGGAGACTGGAGATGTTCCATAAAGAAGAGTGGAGACCAGTGGATGTTTGGGATCGTTTCTCGGACATGAACTCAGCTCCTGCAGTTTGTGCTGAACTGGACTGTGGTTCTGCTGTTTCAGCAAGAATTATGGAGGAGGCTTCAGAGAGACCAGTTTGGTTGATCGGGTCTGACTGTTCTCAGTCAGGATCTGCATTAAAAAACTGTTTACCTGATAATAAAACCAATGATCAGAGCCATGAGATCATCTGCTCAGGTAAATCTGAACTCATATTTATATAAAATGTTTCTTCCATCAGGTTCCAGATGTTTAGAAACTAAAACTGGTTTAAATATTACTGACTTTACTGAATCATAAAGTTGTTAGTAATCATGTAGAAACATGCTAGTAACCATGGTAACCAGTCTATGATCAGCCATCTTGTTTTCCACCTCAGATCAGATCCAGTTGTCTCTGTGTTTCCTCTGCGTTGCCAGGTCTGCTGGTTGAGCCGCTCATCTTCCTCCCTTCCTCCACTGACGGGGTCTCCACAGGCAGAAAGCAGGGGTCTGAGCTCCTCATTGGCTCAGAGTTCAGCATCATGTGCTCCATCAGGCCTCAGTATGCAGGCGGCTCCTTCCAGCTCATCTTCAGCACCTCTAACTACACTCAGAACCAGACCCTGCCAGCTGTTAATCACTCCGCCCTCTTCCTGTTCGCTGCTGCTGGCCACGCCCACCAAGGAACCTACCGCTGCCTTTACCACGTCTACGTTTTCTCCCATAACTTCTGGTCTATGAGCCAGCCTCTCAACCTCACTGTCTCAGATAAACTCATGGAGTCCATCAGGAGAAGTTCTGCTTCAGGTGAACCAGCAGCTGTCTGCCTCATTCATGAGGTCAGAGAGGAGGATTGATTATATTAATGTTCATGATCTACAGCTAGCATGAAAACCAGGGTCTATGTGATTATTGTACATTTCTAGCTGGACTCATCTGATGAAAGCTGATCCTGAATCTGTTTCATTCATTTTCAGCCCATCTCACTGCTTTGATCATCAGACTGGTTGTCGTCCTGCTGGGAATGCTGGGAATGCTGGGATCCGTCCTGCTCCTCAACTATAAGGTACTGCATGTATCATGCATGATGTGTTCAGTTGGGAAAGTTGTTGCCTTGCAGCTGAACCATCCTCTGTTTCCAGGCCAGGAGAAACCAGAAGTCTGGACCAGAAAACATCATGATGAACGTTCTTGATGAAGGATCCAGAGCTGAAGGCGGATTAGAGGAGGAGGCTGCAGTCTGAAGGAACCAGGAGAAAATCATCTTGGTTTCACATCCACAGGAAGGAGCAGAGACAAAATATATTTAGAGATATCTCAAATTGCTAAATCATCTAGTCATAAAACAATTTGAGATTTCTGGAATGTGAGGGCGGCAAAACCGAATTTATGTTGAAACGGCTTGCCATAATCAATCAGTCTTTAGCTGTTTCTCTGAACTGTGTATTATTATAAAGTTGTAGAATAGTTTCTTTTTGCATTCTTATGACATCCTTAAATGTTTAATATGCTTTATGAAAGAAAATGCGTTTGCTTGCAGTCTGTTTTGTAGCTCAGTAGATTGTTAAACTGTGAGGATGGAATGAAACCTTTCCTATCAAACAGTTTGCTGTGTTTTGCTCGAGGCTCTTTCTCCTGACTGTGTTCAGTGAGCAGAGACTCTAAATGCTGTAAAGCCTTCAAATAAATATTGACAAAGAATTGATATATTCTCTCTGGTTTTTGATCGTTTTTCCTCAGTCTGTTAAAGATCATTTCAACCACAAACAGGATCCAATGAGGTTGAGGGCAACAGGAGATCAGATGCATCGACCAGCCTAAGTAGTTAAACTTCAGTCCACTTCCTGGGTCAGGTGTGGGCAACTCCAGGCCTGCAGGGTCTCCTGCAACTTTTAGAGAATCTCTACTTCAAATAATGACTCAGATTTTCCATCAGGTTCTACATGAACTTGACTGTTGAGTGAGCAGAGACTCCAGACGGTGTAAAGGTTTGGAATAAATGTGTCCAAAAAATATATAATCTCTGGTGTTTGAAACTGATTTTCCTCACTCTTTGCTAAACATAATTTCCATAACACAAGGAATGTTTTTAAATTGTATTTTATTCTGCCACCATGCAAGAAGAATGATATAGAAAAATTATTTTTAGAGAAATAAAAGTTTTATTTATATAGTCTTCTAAATGTGCATTTATGTAATAGTATTCTATGTTTCTAATATTATGTTAAATGTGTGAAACCATTTCTGTTACAAACATTTTCTCTTTACATGTGGACCCCAGGAATAGTCGCCATTGTTATAGATCCCTTCCGCCTAGACGCAGTGACGTCACGCTCCGACGTTCTCTACCCCGTTCGGCCATCTTTGATAGCAGCGATAGTTATAGCCTCAAGGAGTTAGCTAACAGCTAGCTGCTAGCTCACATCGCTAAGTAAAAGGTTTGATGCTACTATCAAACCAGTGGCTTTTAACACAAAATTCAAGTCCAAAATAAACTTTTCTGCCATTTTAGCAGCATTAATAGCTTACCACTGTTGGGAGTATAAGTTTGGTTATATTAATTTTAGAAACAGTTAAACTTTCTGCATATGAGATATTAGAAGTAGCGTGAATATTTTGAGTAGATTTTAAGTTAGGTAGATTTAGATAAAGATTCAAACTAAAACAACTGCTGACTTTCTGAACTTACATAAAGAGGGCCTTCAGAAAGGGAGAGTGTTGTACCAGCGGATTGAAAGCAGAGGTTGAGGGGGTCTGCCTGTTCACAAGATGAGTCAAATTCTTTGGTGTCTGTTTAGGAGTTAGGAGTCACAAATTTTGGTCTGAAATGTTTAAAGGAGGAGACTGGTACAGGAAGACCCTGTTTGAGAATGACCGTTGTTCTCTCCATACATTTGCTTTTGGGTTTGAACAGGTCTCAAAGAAGGTAATAAAATTAACATTAAACAGTCCAACAAGGGGAGGACACACCTTCAAATACATATATTTAACTAAGGGAATACACCTCCTTATAAAATGTCTGTTTTACAGCAGAGAAAACAAATTGCTTGGTTTGCAGCCGTGAGAGCAATTCCCAAGAATGCATTCTTGTGTCTCTCATTGTGTTTTCCTTTCCAACTCGTTGCAGGTAATTGTGTGTTTTGTTATGTGTTTGGACTTCTTGATAATCTGGGTGTAATGCTGATGTGACATCCTATGTGCATTGAATTCATTGAAGAAAACTCTAGATATGTCTGAAGTTTGATGTTGAATGGTTGTTCTCTGTGCTTTCCACTGTGCATGCCGAGTCCCTGGATCCGGGAGACTAGAGGAAAATTAACGAGCCAAGTAAATCTATTCCTCTAAGTAAAAACACAACTTTACTGCGTAACTCGCTTTAGTAGAAAGAAGGAACAACGAAGGTCTCGGAGAATCCCACTCGCTGAAGTACGGAGCCCCCTAGTGGACATGGAGAGAACAATTCTTTTGCGTCGCCTAGAAATTAGCAAATACTCTCTGGTCTATTCTGTAAACAGTCACAAAAATCTATTTAATATGTCAAATATATACACATTTCAAGAGCGTCGGTTTTTAGCTCTCTGGTGCAAAAAACTGACTGAAAATGTATTTATTCGCTGCATGTTTGTGTCTGTTTGTGAGGTTGAGACGGAGCTGCACATGAAAACGGCCCTTTATTCAGACAACCAACACAAAAAGATACAACAAAACTTTATCTTGTGAAAATAACTCAGAAATGGTCCCAATAATTTGAATGTATTTTTCTTTCTTAGCTTCTTATGTAAAGTTTCTGTTTATATCTTAGAAGAGATAGAAAGATGGATCTGATCATCAGCACATTAATGAAAGGCAAAACGTATTGCGAGGTAAATCAGAAGAACATGTTCAATTATTTGATTTCAAACATGCCTGTCATTACTTGCTGTGTTTTAGTCTTAAATGTCTTATTTTTTGTTTTTATCGCTCTGAGATCATTTGTATGGAAGCCGTTTCTGCCACTCCGTTAAAAATAAACAAATCTCATTATAATAAGATAATTTTTTTTAAGAGAGTGGCTGAAATGGCTCCCATAAACTTGTATTAGGTTTGCAATGTTGACTAAAATTAAAATAACCAAGTCCACTCTGACCAACTGGGTCCAGATCCACCGCAAAATATTTATGTTTTTGTTTAGTTTTATTTAGTTACTTGAATAGTAAAGATAAAAACAGAAACAGCTGGATAGAAACATGTTTTATAGACAGAGTTATTAAAATGTGTGCAGTCAGAATATTAAATCTGCAGTAGTTTGAGTCTGTATGACAGACACTTTATAAACAAACTCACTTTTCACCAGAATCTATGTTTTTACAGAACCTCCAATTTTTTTTATTTTTTTTGTAACAGATGGATATTAAAAAAAATCAATTTACATAATCTACACGCTGATGAACAGTTTTTAAGTGTTTGTGGGAAGGCTGGTGCAGGAATAAAGTTTTCCTCCGTTTGTTTGAAATCTGGCGTTGCCATGGTGATGACATAATCCGCCGGATTATGGGTTTTAGGTCTGATGAGCCATCTGAGAGATTTTCTGCAGCATTTCCTCCGACTGCAGCTGCTCCAGAGTCAGCAGAGACAGACCAAGCTGGTCCTCCTGCAAAGACATTTTGAAACCATTCAGCTGCAATTGGTCAGAAATTTATAAAGCTCACTTAAAACTGATCAAGTGATTTCTGACATACTTTAATGCATTTGAATTAAAAAAAATCTTTTTTCTGCTTATTATCCATTCCAGCATCAAAAAAACGTCAACGCAGCTAGATGGTAAGTTATTTATTGTGCTGCTGCTACATCTCAAATAATTAGAACATGGAAAAAATTTATTATTTTTCTCATTTATGTCAGAGTTACACATTTTAAGCATCTATTTTTTTTTGTCATTTTTGATGATTTTGGCTCACAGAAAATAAAAGTGCAAAATTCAGAGCCTTGAGGAATTTTAAATATTACATAACACCAATAATAAAATATTACTTTAAATGTGAAAAATTCTCAAACTCATAAATTAAAAGATAATTTCTGAGATTAATGTAAAAAAATAAAATAAAATTTTGTTTTAGCAAATTTTCAACTTTTCAAACTCATTAAATTTGAGATTAATCTGAGAAAGTTTGTAGAAAAAAAAGAATATTTGAGTGTTTCCCAGCAAATTTTTTACTTTTCAAAGTAAAATTTTCTAATTTTTCTAAAACAAAATCCTCAGATTAATCTAAAAAATTTCCAGATATTTTCCAGCAAATTTTCAACTTCTCAAACTCAAAAATGTTCTAGTTTTTCTTCTATAATTTCTTTTGGGGGATTAATCTCAAAACTTTAAAGAGAAATACCACTTCTGATAAATATGTTTCATTTCCACTCGTGAAGCTCGACTATTCTCTTCAGGCCACATTCATCCTTTTTCCTACCACACTTTTTCCTTCCATTTAACTTTCTGATAACAAACTTGGATTTTGCACTCTGAATCAGCTTCTTAACTGAATTTTAGTTATATTTTCAAATTTACTCAAATTTATTAAGATTTTTGTGGAAAAAAACACAAAGAAATGAGGAAAAAAAAACATTTCAGATGTCAACTTTTTTTTTGCATTTAAAATTTTCACAATAAATGACAAACAATAAAAAGTACAATCAAAGTCAAGCTTGGATTGTACTTTTTCACAATATTCTCGTGTTATGAAAGCCATATATCCGTGTGGGTGGAGGTTACCTGTCTGAACGGCTGAGCCATCTGACGCAGGAAGTGCTTGGACAGCTGGACGGCTTCGTCCACCGTGAGGTTCAGGCTGCCGTCGTTGATGTGCTCCTGAATCCAACGAGGAAGTTTCCCACGTTTGTCTGATCGAGCGTATCTCTACGAACAAAAAGCTCCAATTACTCCCAAAAACTACTGATACAAGTTATTATTGACGAGTTTCTCCAAAACGGCCACTTTCTTAAAGACTTGAGTTTTCTCTTGAACCAAGATGGCCGACAATCGTTCTACAACATGTGGGGTTCACTATTTCAAAATATGCTGACACAAAATGTGAATATTATTTTGTGTCTGATGTATTAAATACTCTCTGAGTAAACAGAAATGATTAAACTTAGACATTTATCAAAAATAACAAAAGAGGAACCTATTAAGTTGCTGAGTAGAAAAAATAAAAGATGAAAAACAAAATATGTAAAATAATTCCATATGAACGGACAAATGTTCATACGAGTTACTTTTTTTTTGCTTTTGATGGAAAATTAAAATGTTATTGAGTCAAATATCTAAAAATCAGCTGTTGATCATCTCATATCTCCTCTGCTTCTCTGTCCTCCCGTTGAATCAAATCGGTAATCAATACATCAGAAATTGGTGCTGCTGCGTGATGCAGCTCGGCTGAAATAACAGCATTAACTATGATAACTTTAATAAGCTTGTCTTGTGTTTATATTTCTAAACAGAATCACATAAAGAGCATTTTTTAAATTCCTGTATCAACGGTTCAATTGTGAGCAGTGGCGCCCTCTGCTGGACAATGATAAAACTACAACACTAAAAGATAGAAAGGACTCCATAAATTAATCTATTGGAACTCATTTTAATCTAATAAAGCATTAATCATAAGTTGATTAATACTTTGCATACCGCAAACATTTTCTTTGTATGTTTACCGCTCACAGCTCACCTTGTCAGCAAAGACCATGAGGCCGTAGTCCGTCTTGCCTCTGATGGCTCTGCCGACGCACTGAGTGGCGTGTCGCATGGCGTCAAACGTCAGGAAGTCGTTCTCTCTGATCTGAAACTGATCCCGCAGATACTCCAGCCGAGCCTGGCGGACAAAAACACCCAACAGGAAACGTCAGCAGGAGGAAACTGTTGATGCCTGTCAGTCTGGGAAGGAAGATTTCCTTTATGTCAATAAAGACATAAATACAGACACATGTGATGAAATAAACCGGTGTGGAAAATTAATGCATAAAAAATATTCTATTCTGAATCTGAATCTATTCAGTTTATCTGCCAAATTAAAAATTTGCTGATTTGAAGTTTAGCTTCTCATTTCAGACGATTCTCACCTTCAGGATGCGGCTCTGAGTGTAAACATACGGGACTCCAAACATGATGACCGCTCTGCCAAAATGGTGAACTGAATAATACACGAAAACAAAAATGGAAGAACAGTTATTTGTTCGCTCAACCCGTTTCGTCGGACGGATCTGAATTATTTACCGAAGTCTATTCCTTCAGAGACCTTCCCCCGGGCCACAGAGAGGAGGATGGCTCCTCGGCCGTTCTCACACGCCTCACGAGAAACAAAACAGCAAAAATGAATCACATCTTAGCTCTTTTAAACAGTAAAACTGACTGAATGAATTCCCAGAACTCCTCTGACCTCCTGGTACTTTTCCAGAGCCATGCTGGTTTCCGCCGCGTCCTGCGTCTCGATGAAGATCAGCTTGTTTTTCTGGATGTTCTCCAGGATCCCCTGCAAACAGAAACCCGGAGTCGATTCCTTCAGCTACTCGTCTGGCTGCCTGAAAGCAGTGAGGCGTTGCCGACACCGACCTGTTCGTACCAAGACGCCACGATGTTCTCCATGTAGACGTAGCTGGTGAAGAACGCGACGATCCCGTCTGGAACCACCGCCGACATCTCCAGGAGGAGGTTGCCATAATTACGGATCACGGCTGCAAAACGACAGGTCGGCTAGATCAGGGCTGTGCAAAGTGCGGCCCGGGGGCCGTTTGCAGCCCTCGGGACGGTTCTGTGTGGCCTTTGTTCACAATTCAAGAACAGCACAGATTTATTTCTCCAAACTGTTGATGGTAAAACACTTCAAATAAGCTGAAGTGAAATTTCTACTGATTAAATAAAATGAATCTAAAGTGGGAACAAAACATTTGTTCAAAACAAAAAAACATTGAGGCTGGAAAAAAGGTTTTTCAAGTTACCAAAGTGAAGCAGACAATTTTCAAAACAAATCACATATAGAATATTTCCCTGAGTTGAAACAGAAAGAGAAATCTGAAACTCATAAAACAACATTGACTCTGATCTTGTTTTGATTTTTTTTTGAGTTTCAAAACATTTTTTTCAGTTTCAAATATATATTTTTAAAATTTCATAGCCTTTATAGTCAGTTTTAAAATATTTCTGTTCCAAATCTTTTTTTTCCAATTTCAAATCAGTTTTTAGTCTAAAATTCTGCTTTCAGCTTTAAATCTTTTTTCATTTCAGCAAACTTTATAACCCAATTTAACTCCTTATATGTAGAGAATTCAGAATAAACTTAGGCAACACACAGACTATTCAAATTAATTTGACAGCACCCATCTACTAAATCAGGCTAAATAAGAATGTTTTTAAAAATGCAACCAAAAAGAAGAACGCATCATGTTTTCGGACCCTAACCTTAACCCTAATCCTAACCCTAATCCTAATCACTAATCCTAACCCTAATCCATTTAAAATGATTTTCAGAAACTTTCTGTATAGAAATCAAGCAAATACATTTCATTAATTAAGATATTGTCTATTTAGTTTGTTTTTACAACAGAATTGTTTTGGCATTTCTCAAAGCAAAAGAAACGTATCGTTTGTTGCCCGCGGCTATTTCTACTTCACAGTTTTGGCCCCAGTTGTGGGAACAGCGACATGTTAAAGATAAAATAACACAGAATATACAGAAGCTCACCGAAATCCTCTCTCGTCTCGAACTTTGAGCTCAGAGCCACCTGGTCGTTTCCTCGGCCGACAATCTGTGCAAAAACAAAACAGCATCAGGAGATGAAAGACAAAATGGCCACCGAGCGTGAATGAAGTGTTGCGCACCAGAGGACAGAGGCAGGTTCGTGCGAGCGTCATAGTGAAGGACGCCATGGTGACGGGTCGAAAGTCGAGGATGCGAGGGTAGATGTCCAACGGAGAGAGAGTCTGACGGAAGAACGGAGGAAGAAACAGAGTTTAATTACTCAGAAGTCTTTAAATACAGCTTTCATTTAAAAAAAACACAACAACCGCATGTTTATATTTTAAATTGTTATTGTGAAAAACATTCATACAGGAAAATTGAAGCACTTTCATATATTTTCAAGGTAAACTGAGATAAAAACAATACAAATACAAACTATAAAAGGACAGTTTCAATTCAATAATATGTGATATAATTTAATAGTTATTAATAATAATGTCTTGTGATGGTATTCTGTTTAAACTAAAATATAACAAAGTTTTATGATTTGAAATGTCACACCTTCCAAGATCAAAGCATTAAACAAACAAAAAAAATCCCCCAATTTCAATTGTTCAACATGTAAAACATCAGATAATCAATAATTCACTGAATCATTAGTGACATATTGATCCATTACATTGAAACAATCCAAACAAATCATGTTCAGGTAAATGAGCTTCCTGCTCAAATTAAATGTCAACACATAAAACACAAAGAAAATGCAAAAAAACAACAAGAACAAAACAATCTGACCAAGTTTTCTGGCATTTAGCAAAACAAAATAATTTAGATAAATCTAACAAACCAAAATAGGAAAACTTTAATCTGGTTTAACTTCAGATAGTAAAAAGCTAAATGTGTCTGTCTTTTCATTAGGTGTATGAAAATATCCGGTTTCTGCTGTAAATAACATTTTACCAAGTTGGGTTTTTGATCAAGGACTAGATTGAACCAACGTCAGGGACTTATACAGAAATCAAGCACTTTCCAAACCTTGAAATCACCTGACTGAAAGGTAAGACCCGTAGGAACCTGGAATGGAATAAACAAGTTTGGGGAGGAAAAAGAGAGACGCACCCCTGAGGTGATGACGACGGACTGGAACCTCTGAAAAACAGGTTTGATGGCGATAGACGGGTCCATGCAGCTGGAAAACAGGGAGAAAAGCAGGGAGACAATTAATTAACTTATGACAATCGATTAAGGGTTTATTAAATTAAAATCATCAGCACCCAGAGATGTTTCCTGTTAATCATGACCCACCTAAAATGCAGCACAGGGTTGGCGATGGTTGGAGTTCTGTCCTCAAAAGGTTCGATGATGATGGTAAAACCTTTACAAGGAAAAAATCTCTTAAAACTAAACGTTGGTGCAGCAGGTCTTACTAAAACAAGTTTGCTGAAGGAATTTAGAGGTTTGCTCAGGACCCTAATCCTAACCCTGACCCTGACCCTAACCCTGATCCTGATCCTGACCCTGACCCTAACCCTGACCCTGACCCTGACCCACCTTGGCTGTAGGTGCTGACCAGAGTCGCAAAGTTAGAGATGAGCGTAACGGCCGAAAAGTCTGCGATGTCTGCGATCTCCAGAGTTCGCAGCAGCGACTGCAGCCTCTCCGCACAGAACCTGCAATCACACATGAAACGGCGTTAAATATATAAATATATGTCAGTTATACAAAATTATTCAGTCTCAGAAAAGCTGGCTGGTAAATATTAGAGCCAACAAGAGGTCAATGTTTTGTACTGAAGTAAATGAATCACTACTTTGATTTAGTTACAAATTATTTACAAAAATATATTCAAGTAAAAGGGTTTGACTGTCCAATTAATTTGTAAAATGATGTAATCATTTGGACAAAATATAAAATTATTAGCAGGTTCAGCTACTCAGAGGACTAAAATATTTTAAATTGATTAAAAATAAATATGAAATATCACCTTTCCAAAATTTCCATTTTCTAGAAAAATTTTTTTTTCCAAAAATAAAAAATTTTAGACTTTTGGATCTCAGAAATTTCAGAGTTTATTTTATATCAGTGCAATTGAAGGCCTTCTACTAAACTCTAGAGGAGAGACCAGATGAAGCAGTTTAACATTTCTGCAGATCGCTCTGAGTTAGTAAGTCGTTTTTTTCAGGGTTTATTATTAACACTAGAGAAGCCAGGCTGACCTGAGAGGTTTTCTGTCAATGCAGACTTTGTCGAAGATGTCTTTTAAGAACTGTGGGGCCAGCAGGTAGTGGTAGCTGTACACAACGATGTTGGCATGAAGAATCTGAAAACACACACAACCAGTGCAGTTGAAGCCTCTCATGCTAAGCGTCCGATCAGAAGCGTTTCTGGCACCACCTAGTGGTCAGAAGATGAACTACTTTTTCATAATGCTCCATCATCAGCAAAAAGTGATTTACCAAAACTAACTGATATTTCTTTAAAAATATCATTCATCATCACCGAGAATAATGTTGGACTTATCACACTTCCTTGAGGAGTTCCGTTTTCTATTTGTCATGATTGTGAAACATGAGAACCTATTTTAACTTGAACATTTCTATCAAACAAAAAATTTAATATCCAATTAAACATATTCCCGACTCAAGACTTATCTAAACCCTACACATTTGTACTGTGAAACACACCCACTTCCCAAATTGAAATCAATTAACTAATTAAGTGAATTACTAACCAAAAAACTTAAGAAACAAAATAAACATTCTAATTATAAATCAACTAGAAAACAAAATAAACTAAATAATCTAGATTCTAAACTTTAACTAAAAAATAATGGAGAAATAGCTCCTACAATGCATTTATGAAATAGTATGCTATGTTTCTAATATCATGTTAAATGTGTGAAACCATTCTTATTACATACATTTTCTCTTTATCATGTGGCTTTAAGCAAACGTTCGGTGTGAGATTCTCTGCCAGGTGGAGGTTGAACGGCGGTCCAATAGCGAGAGCAGATCCCAGCGTCTTGCACTGCCAGCTAAAACACTGAGATTATTAATTCAGATTATTTGCTGAGCTTTCTGACCGTCTTCCTGTTGAGTGTTTGAGAAAAACAACCTCCGGATGTCTTTGTTTCCTGCATTGAGCCTCGATGTTGCGAAACTCCGTCACGTGTTTGTTTTTTAAATGCTACATTAGATTCGTTGTGTTGATGCAGTTTGACCTGCTTCACCCCAGAGATAATTTTCCCCATTTACTCAGAGCGTTAAAGTTTGACACGACATCGTTTAGGACTTGCTGCTGCTGCGCTTCGGCTGTGTGAAGGAAAGAGGAGATAAGCTGAACACGCAGGCTGCAAAGTGAGATAAATGTGGTCAGTTTTGCTGATCGGCCATCAGCGATTATACACACGGAAATCGGCCGATTTTGGAGCCTATGTGAAATTTCAAGTTGGGAGACTCGACCCAGCTGACACTCATCTCTCATTACCCCGTCCTACCGCAGCCAATCGGGTTGGCGAACTACGTCGCTGCAAGCCAGTCGTCATCCAGGAATGCATTCAAAAGCCAAGCCACCAGAGGGGTTGTCCTTCTAGTCGGTGCGCTTGACTCCCTCCTACGCTCACATCTCTCCCAAACTCCGCTCAAAAATCCTCCAGGGCCAGTACGTGAACCTTGTCTCTCTCATCCTTCCGTCTGCCGAAGTGGACCAGTGCATCACCTCATCGGCCGGACTCACCGCTATCTTCAAGCAATCCACGCCTTTCAAAAGACCTCTCCATCGGAGAGTTTCTGGTGGCCTTCGGCGTCTACCGTGACGTCATGTGCTCCGTCTACCCGGACCGTCACGTTGAGCTCTACTCGTACCTCTCGCTCATCGCCGATTTAAATCTTAAGTACGGGCGGTCCCTGTTTTATCATTACCACAAGGCATTCGCTGCCAAGGCCGCTACAATCCTGTCACAAACAGCATCCGCTTGGGCTGGTCCGTCCTGGACACGGAACTGTTTGCCATGCTCACTCAGGGCTCCACTTGCCTCACCTGTTCCGCAGTCGGCCACCAGAGCGCTCTCTGCCCATCTCTGCCGTCCTCTGCCGTCCTCGACCTGTCCGCCCCCATGGCGGTTTGACCCCCAGCATCAACAGTCTTATTCCCAAGGAACCCTCTTCCCTCTGCTACGCCTCAGTCGACCATGCCATCTCCCTCATCAAGACAGCCGGACGGGGTGCCTTCCTCGCTAAGGCCGACATCGCGGACGCTTTTAAAGTAATCCCCGTGCACCCCTCCGATTGGCACCTTCTTGGCGCTAAATGGAATGGCTTCCTTTATTTCGCCGTCAGGCTCTCCTTCAGCTGTAGGAGTAGCCCCAGTCTGTTCGACACTCTGTCCGAAGCACTGTGCTGGGTTCTCCTCAATGTCTCCCGACTGCCCGCGGTCCTTCACCTCCTCAATTATTTTCTCCTCGTCGACGCCCCCTCTCCCTCACCCAGTCCGTCTCTGTCGGTGCTTCGCCAGCTTTTCGCTCGCGTAGGCGGGCAAAACCATCGGTCCTGTGACCGAGCTCCAATTCTTCGGGATTTCTCTCGACTCCGTCTCCATGATCGCTTCGTTGCCGCAGGATAAACTGTCTCGTATCCACGACGTGTCTCATTCTTTCGCCTCGGCGTCAGCGGTCTCGAAACGCCAGGTCCTCTCGCTGCTGGGCCACCTTAATTTTGCCATGAGAATAATCCCCCAGGGTCGTTCCTTTATTTCGCGCCTCCTCGATTTAGCCAACTCGGTCCCCTCTCTATCAGACCGCGTCAACCTAGACGACGGCTGCCGCTCGGACCTCTCGTTCTGGTCGAAGCTTCTTTCGGGTTGGACGGCATCTCGTTTTTCTATAACGACGCCTTCTCTCCGCCGACTCGCTGCAGTTTTTTACGGACGCTGCCCCGTAAAATATTTTGGGGGATATTTTAAAGGTATTTTAAAGGTAAATGGTTCGCCGGGAAGTGGCCCTCCTCTTTTCTCCAATCCGAGTCATCAGCTTTTTACGAAATAGTCCCCATCGCCGTTGCTTGCTGCATATGGGCCACCATGGTCTCGCCATGGTCCAAGCGGTTAGTAAGGGCCGCTCTCTTCCAGTTCAATCATGCCCTTCATCCGTCGCATCACGTGGCAGGCCGTAACCCACAACTTTATCATCGCGGCTCAGCACGTGTCCGGCTATTCCAACGCCATTGCTGACGCTCTATCTATCTCGTTCTAAATTTCAGGTCTTCCGCCATCTGTGCCCTTCTACCAACGCTCGCCCCGAACCGATCCCGGCCCTCGCAGATCTCCGACTCAATTAAGAGTCTCTATTCATTCCCTCCTGCGCTCGGCTGAATATTACATTAAGTCGGGCTTTGCTCCTTCCACGCTCTCCTCCTACACTTTTTCCTGTTCAAGTTTAACAATTTTACATGCTAAATTTTTGAAACAAAACAAAATAATCTATTTATTATTTTTATAACTAAGGAACAATCTAGAAATCTCAAATAGTTTCATTAGAAAAGTCCAACAAAAAGAAAACAATTTTAAAATGATGTGTCAATACGTTTTCATGAACTTTAACATATTTAAATTGAGTAAATTAAAGTGGACCAAACAGGACTGGTGTGAATGTTTGACATTGTATTTTGGCCAGTGATTAAAAAAAAAATAATAATTCTGCCAAAAACTGGAAAATTTTCTAGAAAACAAAAATCAATTTGTTAGTTTAAAAAATTTGTAAAGGAAAAACTGAAATTAATCAGAAATTTTCTAGAAAACAACTTGAAAAGTAAAATATTTAAAATTTTGATGGCAAAATTTCCACATTTTTTACAGTTCTGGATTGTTTTGCTATAATTGTATTAATTTTTTTGTCTTTCTATCTACGGCCTTAGTTTGCTGTCACATAAATGGACCTTAGTTTGAAACTACAGAATGGATTCAACTGGCAACAGAAACCTGACAGATTAGGAGGATTTTAACCAAAGGATCATTTTTTAAATGAGGTTAAACACTAAGATGTTTCTCTTTTGTTGACTCAGTTTCTGCTTTTATAGATTAAATTAAATTTAAAAGCCCTGACTCAGGTCCGGCCCTTTTTACCAAATAGAAAAGTGATTTACAGATTTGTCTCTACACAAATTAAACAACTTTACTGCATTTTTATTAACATTTAGATGTTTTATTCCTAAAACACTAAATTTTCTGTTTACTGATGATGTTAGTTTTAAAAATCAGCTTCAAAAGCAAATATTTTGTTTTGGGTTGTTACTTTTCTTCTGCAGAGCATCAATGCCCCTCCCCCACCTAATGCTGCAAGTCAGCTGACTGCAATGAAGTTTTTCAGATTGACTGATTGGAAATATTTAAACTCAAACAAGAAAGATGATCTTTTCTTTTTTGTTTAGCTTTAGTGCTAAGCTAATAATTATCTGGACTAATAGATTAGTGGAGTTAATTATTACAGAAAAGAATAAAAATTTATCTCAGAAGTTGTAGTTTAATTTATTTGGGGATTTTGAAGAGTCAGTGGCTTTTTGTTTAGTGACGGATATTTCATCATTCAGTATATTGAGTCAGCCAAGCAGATGGAAACTGTGATACTATCAAAAGATGATAAACATGCAAAAACATGTTTTATGTAAAATTATGAAGGTAAAAAATATAATTAGTCCATCAGAGCAATTAGAAATGCCAGAAAACCTGCTGGTTTCTTAAAATGCACCACAGAAGCCCGACCCGACTATCAAACTCAACTTTGGGCCAACCGGCTCGAATTTTGGCTCAGAGCTGCAAATGTTGAGATAATAGTTTAGATTTTCATGCATGCATGTTGCTGCAGCAGCATAAAGGGGCTGGTATGTTTAATATTCTAAATAATAAATGTTTTGAGCTAAATGGACCTAAAATATCTCAGCTCTTTGAAATAAACAACTTTTTCCAGCTGAAGATCTAAAGTTTAGATTCACCCTGAAAAACCTGGTTATGTTGCAATAAAGCTGATAATGTTGCTGACGCTTCAATCCAGATTAGCATCACTCAGCAAGCTCACGGCAGCACACAGAGGCTGAACACCCAGATTAATATCTAGATTTCTCTCTCTGCCTCTATGAAGCCTTTCTGCTCTGATGACCAAAGACAGAAAAACAATAATTCAAATATCCAGATTTATAATCTGAAATGTTCCAGGAATCTTCCTGGAGGAGAAACTGACCACTTCTCCTCCCTCTGCTACTTTCTCCTACTACTCTCCATCCTTGCTCCAGGTTTTCCCTAGAAAACTTGCTGCGTCTGGTTCATAGCAGCAACACCTGGGCTCAGTTCTGCTCAGCAGTGACTCCTTGCTGCAGGGAAGCTGAGCTGCTGCTGCCAACAACATCAGGTTCCCCTTCAGTGGATGAAACACACCTGGATCCACTCCGGCCACTTGCAGAACAAGCACTGAACTAAACAGGAACAACAGAGACTGGTGAAAGCCTGAATCCCAGTAGGCCCAGTATGAGCCCAGTATGAACCCATCTTCACCATGAGCTCCTAGGAAGGAGGCGTTTTCTCTGAAAGCAGCCAAAGACGTGAACTGTGACGTTCAGGAAGTAGCAGATAAAACAGCTTAAAGTAGGAAGTCTGCAGAGTCTGGAGCCTCATCCTGATCACATCAAGAGACGAAGCTTCGCTCCACATTCAGAGGAAACATGGACCAAACAGCTCTGATGCTGCTGCTGTGTCTCTGCAGCTCAGGTAGGACTCCACTTTCACACAAAACACTGATATTCACTGGAGTTCAAGTTCAAACGATCGACTGATAAACATGTTAAATTTTACTATCAAAAACCTGGAAACTGTTTCTGGTCTCAGATCGTAGAGCTGCTGCTGCAGTTAGTGATGTTTATATTGTCTACTTGCTGCTAAGGAGCCAATAACATCACAGTTGTTGGTTTCAGTGTTTTGATGAAGTAAAGCACTTTGAACTGCCTTGTTGCTGAAATGAGCTATAAAATTAATCTGATTGATTGATTGATAAGGAGAAGCTGCAGAAACTCTGCAGCGGCGCTGAATCTGCGCAGTAAACAGGTGGAGCCGCATAAAATGGCTCCTTCTGCATGAATCCTCTCATCTTCCTCTTGGCTCCACAGGTTCTCTCTGAGGTTCTGGTCAGGCCCGTTTGCTGGCCAACCGAGCCCAGTAGCACCACGGTCACTGGACCAGCTTCTGGTGCCGCTGGTTGTGCTGGTGAAAACGTTTGGGCTCCGTCTGACGTGGGAGCGTCTCAGGCAGGATGTGGATCTGGCCTGCTGCAGATTAGAATCAATCAACCAATCAATCAAGTTTATTTGTAAAGCACATTTCAGCACCAAGGCGGTTCAAAGAGCTTTACGTCATAAAAACACAAAAATAAAAAAAGACGCCAGTTTACAGTAAACCAGTAAACTGTACATTTGGTCAAAGTGTCGTCGTTACACATCAAATGTTGATCAGTTTCATTGATTATGTTTTCTAAAGCAAATCTGACCTGCTGGGTTTTTAGTCCAGATTTAAAGGAACTCAGTGTTTCGGTTGTTTTGCAGAGTTAATTATTGAAACGGCTTTTCAATCATTTTGCCGATGAATGAAAGGTTGGAGATCGGCTGTAATTCTGCAGCAATGATTCGTTCAGATGGTTTTTATATCAGCGGTTTGAAAACTGCTGGGGGAAACACCTGATGAGAGCGAAGAGTTTTACTATTTGAATCGGATCAGATGAAATGACAGGCAGGACTTCCTGAAGAAAAGTTGTGGGTGTGACATCAAGACAGCAGGAAGAGGAGCTTCATTCATTTATTATGTCTTCTGAGTTTTTAGAGTTCAGTATTTAAAATTGAGTCGTTTTTTTCTGCATTTGTTATGTTCAGTATAGCATTGATATTGGATTTAGAGAGGATGTGCAGATTAATCCTCTAATTGTGGTGATTTTCTCTAAAGAAATGTGCAGGCCCAGTTTGGCTGCAGCTCAGGTGGTTTGTGAGTCTGTCAGCTGTAGCAAATGAAGCTCAATCATTGTTCATGTTCTGCTTTATGAGCGTTTCCCTGCAATGTTAGTGCAGACGTTGGAGATTTCACCATAAACGTGACGTTGAGTTTCACTCCGTTGACGTTCGGCCCCAACAGAGTCGTCTTGCAGATCTATAATATACATCTGTGGTTTCAAAGGTAACAGTGAAACAATCAGACGGGGCCACATCAGTTACAGAGACGCTGGAATATTCACAGCCTGCCTGATAAGCAGGTCCATAATGTGTCCTTGATGACGTGTTGCTGGGTTAACATGTGAATTAAAGCAAAATGATCAACAATATCACAGCTTTTAATCCCCTCTGTCTTCAGGCTCGTCAACATGGTGTTGAAATCTCCCACAATTATTTAACTGTCAGAATCAATGAATATAACAGATAAAAACCCATTAAAGTCAATAGAGATGTTTTCCACATATGATGGGATTTTGCATAGAGTTAGCATCAGAGCTCATTTATGGACTTTTACACAAAAACAATAAATTTGACTTTGGTTGGTCTCAGTAAAGACATCAAGTATAAATGGGTAGAAAAGGAGAATAATGAGAAACATTTCAGGTCTTACTACAGAGCATACATAACACTTCAGTCTGGGCTTTAACTAGGCCACTCCTACATAAAGGTGCTTTGATCAGAACCATCCATGACAGCTCTGCCTCTAAGAGAAGATAAAATAAACACCATCAACAGGATCCTGTCATCACATCCTAAATCAATCTGTCTTTGCTTTTTAACCCAACATGTAAATGTTGTTTCTTCCAGCGCTGGCTGATGAACTCAGACTGGTAGCAGGAAGGAGTCGCTGTGTTGGCAGACTGGAGAAGAAGGAACGGGGAGACTGGGAACCAGTGAAGTATTGGGACTATAACGGGAACTTTACATCAGCAGCTGGATTTTGCAGACAGCTCCACTGTGGATCTGTGGTGGCGTTCCAAGGAGATGAGAGCGGCAATGTAGAGATCGTCTGTTCAGGTGATTTCATATCCTGGCCAGTGTCTTCCTGTTCTGCTTCCAACTCCACTTTAAAAATATTCTCACTTCCAGCTCAGTCTGGGCTTCTTCCCCTTCACCTGGATTCCTCTGGTAGATTTTCTACTGGACCAATCAGTGAACAGAAGAAGTTTGAATGATGACCTTGATTTGCTGTTATTGTAGAAACACAGTCTGTCTGTAGTTTAATCAATGGCAGTGGAGGAAGTTCAGTCCATGTTGGTCACACTTTCAAATATTGAATGAACATCAACAGTCGCCTCATTGGGCTCTTCTCTGTTTTGTGGTGGACAAATTATAGTAAGGTAATATCTGCTGGTTGTATTGTCTTCATCCTAAATGCCAGTGAACTCTCACCAAATGAAGCTGTTTGGTTTGCAAGCACAAGGTTGGGAGATGTTTTCCTGCAGCTGCATGAGAACCAGCCTTGGTATAAAACTCCTGTTGTCTCTGCCTGGGAGTTTTCAATGGGAAATGTTTCACTATAGATCGTCTGATCTGCTCTCTGTATTGAGCACAATGTGCCAATAAACCTGATTGAGTGATTTCATATATCACTGCTTGGTAATTGATTTTTTCCCTCAACATGTTTGCAGCCCAGAAAACTTCCAGTAAACTTAGTGTGGATCTGGTGCATTGCATGTCATGGACAAACATTAGACACTGGGTGAAATTTAAAACCTCAGCACAGTCCAGACTCTCTGGATGAACCAAAGTGTGGAACAGAGCGGCTGGTTTTTACCAGGTTAGTGACTGAATGAAGTTTGATTAGATTAAAGGGGAACCAGTGGAGCAGATTCAGGGCTATAAAAACCTCAATGTCACTGAGAAGAAGCTGATCAAATGTTGCACTTCCTCCACAAATTAAGTTCAGAGAGTTAAGATGATAGTTTTCTATGATTCTGTCATTAAATCTGTCATTTGCTTTGTAGAAAACAATGATAAAATATTAATAATTGATCATTCATAGGTTCTTTGTGCTGTTCTAGTGTAATTTTCTCTGTTTGTCTTCAGTTTTTTCCGTTCATCTCCAGGCCTGCAGTAAAGCAGATGCTAAAAGTGCAAAGAATATTAAACATGAGATATAAAAATAATAAACTCTTCCCCCCCCCCCCTCTCCGCCCGTTCTCCACTAGTTGGTTTGTTCCTCCACAAAGTCTGAACTGGATTGTAGCTTTGCTGAACAAACTGGAACCAAATTCAGTGAAAATGTTGAATTAACTTTTTTCTTTCTGCATCCACAGATTCAGTCAGGCTGGTTCCAGGGACCAACCGGTGCTCAGGCAGACTGGAGGTGAAGACCAACCAGTCGTGGTCCTCAGTGTGTGAAAAAGACTTTGACCTGCAGGATGCACAGGTGGTCTGCAGGGAGATTGGCTGTGGGCCTCCTTCAGTCCTCCAGGGGGCGCTCTATGGAGAAGCAGAGGCTCCAGTGGGGAGCAGAGAGTTCCTGTGTGAAGGCAGTGAGTCTGCTCTGCTGAACTGCAGCAGCAGGAAGAGTTCAGGTAGAAACAGCTGCTCACCTGGTCAAGCTGTTGGACTCACCTGTTCAGGTAGAGGAGGATCTGCAAACCTGCTGCTGTTCACTGCTTCACTTCCTTCATTAATGAACTCTCTGTCTCTGCTCACATCAAGACATCAGGTTGGTGGGAGAGGCCAGTCGATGTGCCGGGAGACTGGAGATGTTCCATCATGAAGAGTGGAGACCAGTGGCTGTTTGGACTAATTACTGGGACATAAACTCAGCTCCTGCAGTTTGTGCTGCACTGGACTGTGGTTCTGCTGTTTCAGCAAGAAATTCATTTGGAGGTACAGTGAGACCAGTTTGGAGGATCTGGTCTGACTGTTCTCAGTCAGGATCTGCATTAAAAATCTGTTTACCTGCTGATGAAACCAGTAATCAGAGCAATGAGATCATCTGCTCAGGTAAATCTGAACTCATATTTATATATTTTAAAATGTTTCTTCCATCAGGTTCCAGACGTCTGCAGAGAAACCGTCACCTTTAACTAAGAACCTGAAGCCTTGAGGGAAACTAAAATAATTTAAATATCCAGATAAAGTTCTCAGTTTATTCCAATAGATGAACAAAAACTCATAATTTTGATAACTTTTAATCTCTGCTGCTTTGAAGTCGATGCATCAAAATCCCAGGAGTTCAAGGAAATCAAACATGTTTAAAACCTGAAAATCAACAGGAAATGACTTTTGATCCAAAATGGTGGACTTCCTGTTTTTAGTGGAAATAGCAGGAAAACCTTTTGTTTGTTATGGTTGTTGGCCTGGCTGAACTAGGGGGCGCTGTTCAGCCATATTGCCATATTTATTTTTAATTCCACTTAAATATTCACATTTTCACAGAGATTAAAGTTTGTTAGACATTTAGTGAGTTTATGATCATGTTAAGGCCCAAAATGTGATAAATTCAGCAGAAATAATAATGAATGATAAACTTGCAGGTACAGTCGGTTTCACTTCACTTTGTTTTCTTGACCTTTATTTTCATCAAACTCAGAGATGTTTCCATGAGTATCTAGAAAAATAAAGTTCTGAAATATTTTAAACCTTTTTTTCTTTCTGCATCCACAGATTCAGTCAGGCTGGTTTCAGGGACCAACCGGTGCTCAGGCAGACTGGAGGTGAAGACCAACCAGTCGTGGTCCTCAGTGTGTGAAAAAGACTTTGACCTGCAGGATGCACAGGTGGTCTGCAGGGAGATTGGCTGTGGGCCTCCTTCAGTCCTCCAGGGGGCGCTCTATGGAGAAGCAGAGGCTCCAGTGGGGAGCAGAGAGTTCCTGTGTGAAGGCAGTGAGTCTGCTCTGCTGAACTGCAGCAGCAGGGAGAGTTCAGGTAGAAACAGCTGCTCACCTGGTCAAGCTGTTGGACTCACCTGTTCAGGTAGAGGAGGATCTGCAGACCTGCTGCTGTTCACTGCTTCACTTCCTTCATTAATCAACTCTCTGTCTCTGCTCACATCAAGACATCAGGTTGGTGGGAGAGGCCAGTCGATGTGCCGGGAGACTGGAGATGTTATATCAAGAACAGTGGAGACCAGTGGATGTTTGGGATCGTTTCTCGGACATGAACTCAGCTCCTGCAGTTTGTGCTGAACTGGACTGTGGTTCTGCTGTTTCAGCAAGAAATTTAAATGAAGCTTCAGAGAGACCAGTTTGGTGGATCTGGTTTAACTGTTTGCAGTCAGGATCTGCATTAAAGATCTGTTTACCTGGTTATAGAACCAGTGATCAGAGCCATGAGATCATCTGCTCAGGTAAATCTGAACTCATATTTATATATTTTAAAATGTTTTTTCCATCAGGTTCCAGATGTCTAGAAACTAAAACTGGTTTAAATATTACTGACTTTACTGAATCATAAAGTTGTTAGTAATCATGTAGAAACATGCTAGTGACCATGGTAACCAGTCTATGATCAGCCATCTTGTTTTCCACCTCAGATCAGATCCAGTTGTCTCTGTGTTTCCTCTGCGTTGCCAGGTCTGCTGGTTGAGCCGCTCATCTTCCTCTCTTCCTCCACTGACGGGGTCTCCACAGGCAGAAAGCAGGGGTCTGAGCTCCTCATTGGCTCAGAGTTCAGCATCATGTGCTCCATCAGGCCTCAGTATGCAGGCGGCTCCTTCCAGCTCATCTTCAGCACCTCTAACTACACTCAGAACCAGACCCTGCCAGCTGTTAATCACTCCGCCCTCTTCCTGTTCGCTGCTGCTGGCCACGCCCACCAAGGAACCTACCGCTGCCTTTACCACGTCTACGTTTTCTCCCATAACTTCTGGTCTATGAGCCAGCCTCTCAACCTCACTGTCTCAGGTAAACTCATGGAGTCCATCAGGAGAAGTTCTGCTTCAGGTGAACCAGCAGCTGTCTGCCTCATTCATGAGGTCAGAGAGGAGGATTGATTATATTAATGTTCATGATCTACAGGCAGCATGAAAACCAGGGTCTATGTGATTATTGTTCATTTCTAGCTGGACTCATCTGATGAAAGCTGATCCTGAATCTGTTTCATTCATTTTCAGCCCATCTCACTGCTTTGATCATCAGACTGGTTGTCGTCCTGCTGGGAATGCTGGGAATGCTGGGATCCGTCCTGCTCCTCAACTATAAGGTACTGCATGTATCATGCATGATGTGTTCAGTTGGGAAAGTTGTTGCCTTGCAGCTGAACCATCCTCTGTTTCCAGGCCAGGAGAAACCAGAAGTCTGGACCAGAAAACATCATGATGAACGTTCTTGATGAAGGATCCAGAGCTGAAGGCGGCTTAGAGGAGGAGGCTGCAGTCTGAAGGAACCAGGAGAAAATCATCTTGGTTTCACATCCACAGGAAGGAGCAGAGACACGTTTCAGACTCCTGGGAATCTGTCCGTCTATTTATCTATGATAAAATGTCTCTGAGCTCCTGCAGCAGGAAGGAAGTTCAACATTCAGAAATTTGTATCTGGACTAAACCTACAGAAGTAAAACCTATATAAGAAGGGAAAAGAAAACATCCACCAAACAAAATATAATAGAAAACCCACTTGATCAAAATCTGATCATCAACCTTGCAAGGATAGCATATGCTAGGATATTTGGGGTCAAAGGTTAGGCAGCCATTTCCATTCAGGCCCTGAATCCAGCTTGTGTCCTTGTCTTGGTTGGGGTTATGAATCAGACTTTAGCTGTTTCTCTGAACTCTGTATTATTATAAAGTTACTGAATATTTTCTTTTTTGCATTCTTATGACATCCTTAAATGTTTCATATGCTTTATGAAAGAAAATGTGTTTGCTTGCAGTCTGTTTTGTAGCTCAGTAGATTGTTAAACTGTGAGGATGGAATGAAACCTTTCCTATCAAACAGTTTGCTGTGTTTTGCTCGAGGCTCTTTCTCCTGACTGTGTTCAGTGAGCAGAGACTCCAAATGCTGTAAAGCCTTCAAATAAATATTGACAAAGAATTGATATATTCTCTCTGGTTTTTGATCGTTTTTCCTCAGTCTGTTAAAGATCATTTCAACCACATACAGGATCCAATGAGGTTGAGGGCAACAGGAGATCAGATGCATCGACCAGCCTAAGTAGTTAAACTTCAGTCCACTTCCTGGGTCAGGTGTGGGCAACTCCAGGCCTCCAGGGTCTCCTGCAACTTTTAGAGTATCTCTACTTCAAATAATGACTCAGATGTTCCATCAGGTTCTACATGAACGTGACTGTTGAGTGAGCAGAGACTCCAGACGGTGTAAAGGTTTGGAATAAATGTGTCCAAAAAATATATAATCTCTGGTGTTTGAAACTGATTTTCCTCACTCTTTGCTAAACATAATTTCCATAACACAAGGAATGTTTTTAAATTGTATTTTATTCTGCCACCATGCAAGAGGAATGATATAGAAAATTTATTTTTAGAGAAATAAAAGTTTTATTTATATAGTCTTCTAAATGTGCATTTATGTAATAGTATTCTATGTTTCTAATATTATGTTAAATGTGTGAAACCATTTCTGTTACAAACATTTTCTGTTTACATGTGGACCCCATGAATAGTCGCCATTGTTATAGATCCCTTCCGCCTAGAGCAGTGACGTCACGCTGCGACGTTCTCCACCCCGTTCGGCCATCTTTGATAGCAGCAATAGTTATAGCCTCAAGGAGTTAGCTAACAGCTAGCTGCTAGCTCACATCGCTAAGTAAAAGGTTTGATGCTACTATCAAACCAGTGGCTTTTAACACAAAATTCAAGTCCAAAATAAACTTTTCTGCCATTTTAGCAGCATTAAAAGCTTACCACTGTTGGGAGTATAAGTTTGGTTATATTAATTTTAGAAACAGTTAATCTTTCTGCATATGAGATATTAGAAGTAGCGTGAATATTTTGAGTAGATTTTAAGTTAGGTAGATTTAGATAAAGATTCAAACTAAAACAACTGCTGACTTTCTGAACTTACATAAAGAGGGCCTTCAGAAAGGGAGAGTGTTGTACCAGCGGATTGAAAGCAGAGGTTGAGGGGGTCTGCCTGTTCACAAGATGAGTCAAATTCTTTGGTGTCTGTTTAGGAGTTAGGAGTCACAAATTTTGGTCTGAAATGTTTAAAGGAGGAGACTGGTACAGGAAGACCCTGTTTGAGAATGACCGTTGTTCTCTCCATACATTTGCTTTTGGGTTTGAACAGGTCTCAATAAAATTAACATTAAAACGCCCAACAAGGGGAAGACACACCTTCAAATGCATATATTTAATTAAGGGAATACACCTCCTTATAAAATGTCTGTTTTACAGCAGAGAAAACAAATTGCTTGGTTTGCAGCCGTGAGAGCAATTCCCAAGAATGCATTCTTGTGTCTCTCATTGTGTTTTCCTTTCCAACTCGTTGCAGGTAATTGTGTGTTTTGTTATGTGTTTGGACTTCTTGATAATCTGGGTGTAATGCTGATGTGACATCCTATGTGCATTGAATTCATTGAAGAAAACTCTAGATATGTCTGAAGTTTGATGTTGAATGGTTGTTCTCTGTGCTTTCCACTGTGCATGCCGAGTCCCTGGATCCGGGAGACTAGAGGAAAATTAACGAGCCAAGTAAATCTATTCCTCTAAGTAAAAACACAACTTTACTGCGTAACTCGCTTTAGTAGAAAGAAGGAACAACGAAGGTCTCGGAGAATCCCACTCGCTGAAATACGGAGCCCCCTAGTGGACATGGAGAGAACAATTCTTTTGCGTCGCCTAGAAATTAGCAAATACTCTCTGGTCTATTCTGTAAACAGTCACAAAAATCTATTTAATATGTCAAATATATACACATTTCAAGAGCGTCGGTTTTTAGCTCTCTGGTGCAAAAAACTGACTGAAAATGTATTTATTCGCTGCATGTTTGTGTCTGTTTGTGAGGTTGAGACGGAGCTGCACATGAAAACGGCCCTTTATTCAGACAACCAACACAAAAAGATACAACAAAACTTTATCTTGTGAAAATAACTCAGAAATGGTCCCAATAATTTGAATGTATTTTTCTTTCTTAGCTTCTTATGTAAAGTTTCTGTTTATATCTTAGAAGAGATAGAAAGATGGATCTGATCATCAGCACATTAATGAAAGGCAAAACGTATTGCAAGGTAAATCAGAAGAACATGTTCAATTATTTGATTTCAAACATGCCTGTCATTACTTGCTGTGTTTTAGTCTTAAATGTCTTATTTTTTTTTTTATCGCTCTGAGATCATTTGTATGGAAGCCGTTTCTGCCACTCCGTTAAAAATAAACAAATCTCATTATAATAAGATAATTTTTTTTAAGAGAGTGGCTGAAATGGCTCCCATAAACTTGTATTAGGTTTGCAATGTTGACTAAAATTAAAATAACCAAGTCCACTCTGACCAACTGGGTCCAGATCCACCGCAAAATATTTATGTTTTTGTTTAGTTTTATTTAGTTACTTGAATAGTAAAGATAAAAACAGAAACAGCTGGATAGAAACATGTTTTATAGACAGAGTTATTAAAATGTGTGCAGTCAGAATATTAAATCTGCAGTAGTTTGAGTCTGTATGACAGACACTTTATAAACAAACTCACTTTTCACCAGAATCTATGTTTTTACAGAACCTCCAATTTTTTTTATTTTTTTTGTAACAGATGGATATTAAAAAAAAGAATCAATTTACATAATCTACACGCTGATGAACAGTTTTTAAGTGTTTGTGGGAAGGCTGGTGCAGGAATAAAGTTTTCCTCCGTTTGTTTGAAATCTGGCGTTGCCATGGTGATGACATAATCCGCCGGATTATGGGTTTTAGGTCTGATGAGCCATCTGAGAGATTTTCTGCAGCATTTCCTCCGACTGCAGCTGCTCCAGAGTCAGCAGAGACAGACCCAGCTGGTCCTCCTGCAAAGACGTTTTGAAACCATTCAGCTGCAATTGGTCAGAAATTTATAAAGCTCACTTAAAACTAATCAAGTGATTTCTGACATACTTTAATGCATTTGAATTAAAAAAAATCTTTTTTCTGCTTATTATTCATTCCAGCATCAAAAAAACGTCAACGCAGCTAGATGGTAAGTTATTTATTGTGCTGCTGCTACATCTCAAATAATTAGAACATGGAAAAAATTTATTTTTCTCATTTATTTCAGGGTTAAACATTTAAGCATCTATTTTTTTTGTCATTTTTGATGATTTTTTCTCATAGAAAAATAAAAGTGCAAAATTCAGAGCCTGGGGGAATTTTAAATATTACATAACACCAATAATAAAATATTACTTTAAATGTGAAAAATTCTCAAACTCATAAATGTTCGCAGTTTTTTAAAAGATAATTTCTGAGATTAATGGTAAAAAAAATTAGATTTTGTTTTAGCAAATTTTCAACTTTTCAAACTCATTAATTTTGAGATTAATCTGAGAAAGTTTGTAGAAAAAAAAGAACATTTCTGAGTGTTTCCCAGCAAATTTTCTACTTTTCAAACTGAAATTTTCTTGTTTTTCTAAAACAAAATCCTCAGATTAATCTAAAAAATTTCCAGATATTTTCCAGCAAATTTTCAACTTCTCAAACTCAAAAATGTTCTAGTTTTTCTTCTATAATTTCTTTTGGGGGATTAATCTCAAAACTTTAAAGAGAAATACCACTTCTGATAAATATGTTTCATTTCCACTCGTGAAGCTCGACTATTCTCTTCAGGCCACATTCATCCTTTTTCCTACCACACTTTTTCCTTCCATTTAACTTTCTGATAACAAACTTGGATTCTGCACTCTGAATCAGCTTCTTAACTGCATTTTAGTTATATTTTCAAATTTACTCATATTTATTAAGATTTTTGTGGAAAAAAACAAAGAAATGAGGAAAAAAAAACATTTCAGATGTCAACTTTTTTTTTGCATTTAAAATTTTCACATTAAATGACAAACAATAAAAAGTACAATCAAAGTCAAGCTTGGATTGTACTTTTTCACAATATTCTCGTGTTAGGAAAGCCATATATCCGTGTGGGTGGAGGTTACCTGTCTGAACGGCTGAGCCATCTGACGCAGGAAGTGCTTGGACAGCTGGACGGCTTCGTCCACCGTGAGGTTCAGGCTGCCGTCGTTGATGTGCTCCTGAATCCAACGAGGAAGTTTCCCACGTTTGTCTGATCGAGCGTATCTCTACGAACAAAAAGCTCCAATTACTCCCAAAAACTACTGATACAAGTTATTATTGACGAGTTTCTCCAAAACGGCCACTTTCTTAAAGACTTGAGTTTTCTCTTGAACCAAGATGGCCGACAATCGTTCTACAACATGTGGGGTTCACTATTTCAAAATATGCTGACACAAAATGTGAATATTATTTTGTGTCTGATGTATTAAATACTCTCTGAGTAAACAGAAATGATTAAACTTAGACATTTATCAAAAATAACAAAAGAGGAACCTATCAAGTTGCTGAGTAGAAAAAATAAAAGATAAAAAACATAAAATATGTAAAATAATTCCATATGAACGGACAAATGTTCATACGAGTTACTTTTTTTTTGCTTTTGATGGAAAATTAAAATGTTATTGACTCAAAGATCTAAAAATCAGCTGTTGATCATCTCATATCTCCTCTGCTTCTCTGTCCTCCCGTTGAATCAAATCGGTAATCAATACATCAGAAATTGGTGCTGCTGCGTGATGCAGCTCGGCTGAAATAACAGCATTAACTATGATAACTTTAATAAGCTTGTCTTGTGTTTATATTTCTAAACAGAATCACATAAAGAGCATTTTTAAATTCCTGTATCAACGGTTCAATTGTGAGCAGTGGCGCCCTCTGCTGGACAATGATAAAACTACAACACTAAAAGATAGAAAGGACTCCATAAATTAATCTATTGGAACTCATTTTAATCTAATAAAGCATTAATCATAAGTTGATTAATACTTTGCATACCGCAAACATTTTCTTTGTATGTTTACCGCTCACAGCTCACCTTGTCAGCAAAGACCATGAGGCCGTAGTCCGTCTTGCCTCTGATGGCTCTGCCGACGCACTGAGCGGCGTGTCGCATGGCGTCAAACGTCAGGAAGTCGTTCTCTCTGATCTGAAACTGATCCCGCAGATACTCCAGCCGAGCCTGGCGGACAAAAACACCCAACAGGAAACGTCAGCAGGAGGAAACTGTTGATGCCTGTCAGTCTGGGAAGGAAGATTTCATTTATGTCAATAAAGACATAAATACAGACACATGTGATGAAATAAACTGGTTTGGAAAATTAATGCATAAATAATATTCTATTCTGAATCTGAATCTATTCTGATTATCTGCCAAATTAAAAATTTGCTGATTTGAAGTTTAGCTTCTCATTTCAGACGATTCTCACCTTCAGGATGCGGCTCTGAGTGTAAACATACGGGACTCCAAACATGATGACCGCTCTGCCAAAATGGTGAACTGAATAAACACGAAAAACAAAAATGGAAGCACAGTTATTTGTTCGCTCAACCCGTTTCGTCGGACGGATCTGAATTATTTACCGAAGTCTATTCCTTCAGAGACCTTCCCCCGGGCCACAGAGAGGAGGATGGCTCCTCGGCCGTTCTCACACGCCTCACGAGAAACAAAACAGCAAAAATGAATCACATCTTAGCTCTTTTAAACAGTAAAACTGACTGAATGAATTCCCAGAACTCCTCTGACCTCCTGGTACTTTTCCAGAGCCATGCTGGTTTCCGCCGCGTCCTGCGTCTCGATGAAGATCAGCTTGTTTTTCTGGATGTTCTCCAGGATCCCCTGCAAACGGAAACCCGGAGTCGATTCCTTCAGCTACTCGTCTGGCTGCCTGAAAGCAGCGAGGCGTTGCCGACACCGACCTGTTCGTACCAAGACGCCACGATGTTCTCCATGTAGACGTAGCTGGTGAAGAACGCGACGATCCCGTCTGGAACCACCGCCGACATCTCCAGGAGGAGGTTGCCATAATTACGGATCACGGCTGCAAAACAACAGGTCGGCTAGATCAGGGCTGTTCAAAGTGCGGCCCGGGGGCCGTTTGCAGCCCTCGGGACGGTTCTGTGTGGCCTTTGTTCACAATTCAAGAACAGCACAGATTTATTTCTCCAAACTGTTGATGGTAAAACACTTAAAATAAGCTGAAGTGAAATTTCTACTGATCAAATAAAATGAATCTAAAGTGGGAACAAAACGTTTGTTCAAAATGAAAAAACATTGAGGCTGGAAAAAAGGTTTTTCAAGTTACCAAAGTGAAGCAGACAATTTTCAAAACAAATCACATATAGAATATTTCCCTGAGTTGAAACAGAAAGAGAAATCTGAAACTCATAAAACAACATTGACTCTGATCTTGTTTTGATTTTTTTTTTGAGTTTCAAAACATTTTTTTCAGTTTCAAATATATATTTTTAAAATTTCATAGCCTTTATAGTCAGTTTTAAAATATTTCTGTTCCAAATCTTTTTTTTTCCAATTTCAAATCAGTTTTTAGTCTAAAATTCTGCTTTCAGCTTTAAATCTTTTTTCATTTCAGCAAACTTTATAACCCAATTTAACTCCTTATATGTAGAGAATTCAGAATAAACTTAGGCAACACACAGACTATTCAAATTAATTTGACAGCACCCATCTACTAAATAAGGCTAAATAAGAATGTTTTTAAAAATGCAACCAAAAAGAAGAACGCATCATGTTTTCGGACCCTAACCTTAACCCTAATCCTAATCATTAATCCATTTTTAATGATTTTCAGAAACTTTCTGTATAGAAATCAAGCAAATACATTTTATTAATTAAGATATTGTCTATTTAGTTTGTTTTTACAACAGAATTGTTTTGGCATTTCTCAAAGCAAAAGAAACGTATCGTTTGTTGCCCGCGGCTATTTCTATTTCACAGTTTTGGCCCCAGTTGTGGGAACAGCGACATGCTAAAGATAAAATAACACAGAATATACAGAAGCTCACCGAAATCCTCTCTCGTCTCGAACTTTGAGCTCAGAGCCACCTGGTCGTTTCCTCGGCCGACAATCTGTGCAAAAACAAAACAGCATCAGGAGATGAAAGACAAAATGGCCACCGAGCGTGAATGAAGTGTTGCGCACCAGAGGACAGAGGCAGGTTCGTGCGAGCGTCATAGTGAAGGACGCCATGGTGACGGGTCGAAAGTCGAGGATGCGAGGGTAGATGTCCAACGGAGAGAGAGTCTGACGGAAGAACGGAGGAAGAAACAGAGTTTAATTACTCAGAAGTCTTTAAATACAGCTTTCATTTAAAAAAAACACAACAACCGCATGTTTATATTTTAAATTGTTATTGTGAAAAACATTCATACAGGAAAATTGAAGCACTTTCATATATTTTCAAGGTAAACTGAGATAAAAACAATACAAATGAACTATAAAAGGACAGTTTCAATTCAATAATATGTGATATAATTTAATAGTTATTAATAATAATGTCTTGTGATGGTATTCTGTTTAAACTAAAATATAACAAAGTTTTATGATTTGAAATGTCACACCTTCCAAGATCAAAGCATTAAACAAACCAAAAAAATCCCCCAATTTCAATTGTTCAACATGTAAAACATCAGATAATCAATAATTTACTGAATCATTAGTGACATATTGATCCATTACATTGAAACAATCCAAACAAATCATGTTCAGGTAAATGAGCTTCCTGCTCAAATTAAATGTCAACACATAAAACACAAAGAAAATGCAAAAAAACAACAAGAACAAAATAATCTGACCAAGTTTTCTGGCATTTAGCAAAACAAAATAATTTAGATAAATCTAACAAACCAAAAATAGGAAAACTTTAATCTGGTTTAACTTCAGATAGTAAAAAGCTAAATGTGTCTGTCTTTTCATTAGGTGTATGAAAATATCCGGTTTCTGCTGTAAATAACATTTTACCAAGTTGGGTTTTTGATCAAGGACTAGATTGAACCAACGTCAGGGACTTATACAGAAATCAAGCACTTTCCAAACCTTGAAATCACCTGACTGAAAGGTAAGACCCGTAGGAACCTGGAATGGAATAAACAAGTTTGGGGAGGAAAAAGAGAGACGCACCCCTGAGGTGATGACGACGGACTGGAACCTCTGAAAAACAGGTTTGATGGCGATAGACGGGTCCATGCAGCGGAAAACAGGGAGAAAAGCAGGAGACAATTAATTAACTTATGACAATCGATTAAGGGTTTATTAAATTAAAATCATCAGCACCCAGAGATGTTTCCGTTAATCATGACCCACCTAAAATGCAGCACAGGGTTGGCGATGGTTGGAGTTCTGTCCTCAAAAGGTTCGATGATGATGGTAAAACCTTTACAAGGAAAAAATCTCTTAAAACTAAACGTTTGTGCAGCAGGTCTTACTAAAACAAGTTTGCTGAAGGAATTTAGAGGTTTGCTCAGGACCCTAATCCTAACCCTGACCCTGACCCTAACCCTGATCCTGACCCTGATCCTGACCCTGACCCTAACCCTGACCCTGACCCACCTTGGCTGTAGGTGCTGACCAGAGTCGCAAAGTTAGAGATGAGCGTAACGGCCGAAAAGTCTGCGATGTCTGCGATCTCCAGAGTTCGCAGCAGCGACTGCAGCCTCTCCGCACAGAACCTGCAATCACACATGAAACGGCGTTAAATATATAAATATATGTCAGTTATACAAAATTATTCAGTCTCAGAAAAGCTGGCTGGTAAATATTAGAGCCAACAAGAGGTCAATGTTTTGTACTGAAGTAAATGAATCACTACTTTGATTTAGTTACAAATTATTTACAAAAATATATTCAAGTAAAAGGGTTTGACTGTCCAATTAATTTGTAAAATGATGTAATCATTTGGACAAAATATAAAATTATTAGTAGGTTCGGCTATAAAATATTTTAAAAATAAATATTATGAAATATCACCTTTCCAAATTTCCATATTCTAGAAAAACATTTTTTTCCAAAAATAAAAAATTTTAGACTTTTGGATCTCAGAAATTTCAGAGTTTATCTAGAAAATTACTGAGATAAATCTAAAAATGTTTTTTTAGACAATTTTGACATAAACTTGCACAATTCCTCTTTTTTTCTAGAAACTTTTAATAATCTCAAAAAATAAAAATATGTTGAGTTTTTTTTCTAGCAAATTTTCACCATTTCAAACTCAAATTTTTGCTTTTTTCTGGCAATTTTTTTACTTTTCAAATTCTGAAAATTCCTGAGAGAAATCTCAACATTTCTGAGAATTTTGAGAGAAATTTCCTTTTACTTAAATCTATGACAGCCCTAATTCATTGTTGTAATCGCTGACATTTATTGATCCTCTTGAAGAAAAAATAGAAAAACCCGAACGCAAATAATAAAAACATGATTAAATTTATCAAGATGAAAAATCACCAGTATCATATTATGTTGATCATTTCTTTAAGTGAAATATTACAAGAGATGTTTATTTCTGTCTTGCTGTTTTTGTAGTGTTAATGTGTTTTATATATATATTTTATAAAGTGTCAATGATGAGCATAGTCTGGAGGTTAAAGGTAAATGTCATCAATTGGTATCAAAATATCCCAATATTGGTGAATATCGGCCATAATTTTATATCAGTGCAATTGAAGGCCTTCTACTAAACTCTAGAGGAGAGACCAGATGAAGCAGTTTAACATTTCTGCAGATCGCTCTGAGTTAGTAAGTTGTTTTTTTCAGGGTTTATTATTAACACTAGAGAAGCCAGGCTGACCTGAGAGGTTTTCTGTCAATGCAGACTTTGTCGAAGATGTCTTTTAAGAACTGCGGGGCGCTCTCCTGCACGACGTGCTGCACCCGCAGGCGGGCCTTCAGGTACTCCAGAAAACGCCGCAGGAAGCCGACAAAGTGTTCGGCCGTACGGATCGAACCGGGAACGGCCTCTGAAGGAGAGGGAGGGAGGAAAGCAAGCAGTTGGCTTTAAAACAGCAGAAAACTGGAAACGTGAAGGTAATAGGAGTTCCTCTGAGTTTGTTGTAAAGACTTTCAGGAAGATAAAAACCAGAATTTGAAAATAAACTGGTCTAATGAATAGTTTTAATTAATTTTTTTAATGCATTGCCATGTTATTGTTTCTGTATGCAAACAGATTTATCTGTTCCTAAGTTTATTATTTAACTATGTATTTGTGGATTTTCACTGTGTTTGAAAGTTAGATTTACAACAGACCCTATTAAAAATGTCCACTGTAAATTTATAACAACCTTCATATTTACAAAACACATAAAAATACAGATGAGAACACAAGCATAAAACATATGTAAAGTTTGAAAACATATGATAAAAAGCTTGTATGAGAATAAAGTTATACGGTATGACTATTGTTTTATTATTACAACTTATTGCAACTATTCCAGTATTATTACAGCTTTATGTTTGTATTATAGTGTTTATTCTCATAATATCTGACTTTATTTTCACAATTTTGCAACTTTATTCTTATAATATTCTGACTGCGTTAGTCCCACTTTATTCTGGTAATATTACGACTTTATTCTCTCATTACTATCGGTAACAGAAATGTTCAGCTTGACAGGCGTCCTTCTTTCCCAGGTGAGGAGGAAGTAAAAGGAGGATTTAGACATTTTTGGTTTTAGTATGAAAAGTTTTTAAAATGTCTTTACGTTAAAACAAGCAGTTAAAAGAGCAGCGAGAGAAAAGATAAAAAACGGCGCTTTGACGGACCGTGCAGGACCTCGTCAGGTAGCACTGGGTTTGCCAGGTAGATGTCCGTTTCCCTGGCGACGTTGGCTTCCTTCAGCCCCTCCACCAATCGTCGGTACTCGTCCCTCAGCCTGGCAGCATCCGTCTCCTTTATCCTGCGAAGAAAAATCAACTTTTTCACTTCAGGAACTATTGGACAGCTGGAGAAGCTAATTAGCATCTCTAGGCTAAAATAGTACCTGAACTACGACCCAGAACCCCACAGGAGACATTTTTATTCAGATTTTTAAAGACAGAACAAAGATTTTTACATATTGTCAACCATAAACATATCATTTACAACAAGCTGCATTCAGCTTCTATGTACCACAAATCTGGAACAAACTTCCAGGAAATTTCCTTTAAATCTTGACCATTATGGCTGGAATATTGATCAATACATTAGATGATTATTGATGACTTTGGTGTTTGTTACTGGTTTCTTAAATGTGTAAAAAGTTATCAATTTTCTTCTTGTGTTTTTGATTTAAATAACTTATCTGCCTTGTTGCTGAAATGTGCTAAACAAAAGCTGACTGACTGAACAATTAATACAAAGTCAAATATTTTCAAGAGCAAAGAGTAAATACAAAAAATATCCAATAGATCAATAAAGTCAAATTAAATGTAATAAATAAATACAAAATGAAGTAAAAGTAATATAAATACGTCTATATACATATTAAATGAATAAAAATAAAAGTACACAGTTACATACACACTAAATTGAAGATTTAATTTAAAAGATACTAATGTAATAAATAAATTGATTGAAATATAGTGAAAATTAAACTAACTTGAAACAAAAAGTGGCTTTATGGAAAATTTGAGGAATCACTCTTGTCAAAAAGTGGAAATTATTTAAATTTTTTCAATTTATCCCTTTTATTTTGTTTAAAGATGCACCAATCCATCACCCAGAGACCAGAATCTGCCATATTTCTCTCCGTCGGCAGGTCGGTTTTTTTTCCAAACTTCGAAAACATGAAACTACTTACTTGTGTATTGTGTTTTGTAGCGTGTCTACGTTGTTCTGGCAGCGGTCCAGCGTTCGCCGAGTTATGTTCACACTCATGGAGTCGATGCACACGTTGTCTGGGGAACAAGGAGAAATTCAGACGACTTCGTCGTGAAACATTTCAATCGTTTAACGTCATCATCCCCCCACCGATGTTATGGGCCTCATCGAACACCACCACTGACTTCTTGGCCAGCTCCTTGGACACCAGGTCGGCTATCTTTGGGTCCAGCAGGTAGTGGTAGCTGTACACAACGATGTTGGCATGAAGAATCTGAAAACACACACAACCAGTGCAGTTGAAGCCTCTCATGCTAAGCGTCTGATCAGAAGCGTTTCTGGCACCACCTAGTGGTCAGAAGATTAACTACATCTGGAAGCTGAGACGCAAAGTGAAGTAAACTGGACGATAAAATGAGATTATTTATCAGCGCACTTGATGTTTTTTACAACTGATATTTCAGAATAGATGACATCTGACCAAAATCCAAAAGGTTACATGTAATTTTGGGTTTGAAGTTTTTTTTTGCAACACCCAGGAACTTTAATTAGTGGCATACATCATTTAGGTACAATTGTAGTAACTATTGTTAGTTGGATGTATTTTTTACACAACAAAGAATAAATATATTACTTTAAATTCTTAATTAAAAAACAAATGAATATTTAGACGTATAAAAGAAATGTCATGCATTGGACGTTTAAAGTTTTATCACAGAAGAAAAAAAAGAAATAATGTACATATTAAGATTTAAGAACTTGTGCTAGGAGAGGCTAATTTGGGTTTAATGCTCAAACTGACAGCAAATACAAAACTTATCCGTTTCTATACTTTTATAAAAAATTAGCAATTGGGGGGTTAAAACGTCATTGCAGTTGTAACTCTTGAATTGTTAATACTAACAGGGGAAGTTTGAAGATAAAAGTCAATTTCAATTCGACTTCTGTGCAAAATTTGTAGCAAGACTTAAAAACATTAAACAAATGGAGAATCTAAAGACAGTTAATAGATTTTGTTGTCATGTTTGAGCCATTCCAGAGTGGTTGTTAGCGTACCGCGTAGCGAGCCAGGTAGTACGGACACCAGCCTTTCCTCCTGCCAAAGTCCTTCAAGTCGTCCAGGTTGTAGATGCCGGCAGGAAGAGGAACCTGCCGTCCAACCGCGTCAAATTCCTGCAACAACCAGGCATTAGGTCAGAGAAACGCAGTGAGGAGGTTACAGCTCTGAGGAATCATGGGGAAAACATTTATCCACACTGCAAAACACAAAACGAGTCCAGTTTCTTGTGCAAATATCTCAACACCATTGAATTAATTATGCTGTTAAGCGTGAATTCATTTTGTTGCTGAAATGAAGCTTCTCAGCAAGAAATAGGAGCTTGTTTTGAGCCAATAATTCCTTAATTTATAACAAGCACAAAATGGAAAACTGTCTTGTTATAAATTAAACAATCTGCCTCTTTCATCAATATGAGGGAACTATTGGTATAAAACAGCAATATTTTGCTGAAATGTTGTTAGTTGTGTCTTATTTTAAGTGTATTTATTTGCCTTAGAAATTAGAAGAAATACTTGGTGAAATTTGGTATTTTTGCAGTGTAGGATTTATTTTTAGTTTTTGGTGGATATTTTTTATATATTTTTATTTAATCTACAATGACTGTTTTCTTTCTGTTCATTAATTGCATCCAAACTGAGAAATCCAACCATTTTCCGTCTATAAATGCATCAGAGATGGACTTAATAAAATTCAGTTAACATCAGATGAAAATCAGGGACATTATGTTTGGTGATAAGCTTCCAATTCATTAATTTGGTTCAAAATCATTAAATGTTTTAAAGATTCTGCAGCTCATTTTTATTTTCTGTGTTTAATTCTTTAGACTAAAAAAAGGAATTGGTCAACAACCAATAAAACCTGATGTTACAGTGAAAAATGTAAGTTGTTTTGTTATTTTTTTCTGGGATGATGTGAAAATTAGAGTTGAAACCATCTGCTGCTCTGAGTTCAGGCGTTTTCTTACCTCATAGAAACGACAGACAGGCAGGTTGGGATTGCTGTGGCGTTGAGCGCGGATGTAGGACGCCGTCAGACTGTGGCACTTCCCATCCACCTCCTTCCCAAAACGCAGAGAGCTGACCTACACGAAGAAAAAAAACTCTTTCATTATCATTAAAGCTCAAACAATTCATCAGCTGAATCAGTTAATTGAAATAATTGTCAACTGATGTAGTAAAAGATTAGTCAACTAGAGTATGCAGACTCTTAAAACAGGCCTTTTGCTGACAGATTGACACTCAGAGTCGTAATTTTATTGTAGAAATATCGAAATATTTTGCATTTAATATTAAAAATCACCATGTCTGTAAATGTGTTCCACCCAGATCTCATCATGTGACAGTTTTAACTACATCTGGTTCAAATTATGTTAAAAAAAACATGTAAATCACATTTTAAGTACCTTTTTCATCCAATTATTATTAATCATTTAATGAAAAAAATAACGACCAGATCAGATCTACACTGTGTTGATGTTCAGTGCAGCAGAAAACTTTCCACATGTTGATTCAGAGGGATTTTTTTTTCTTAGCTGGAGATTTATCTTTTGCTACAAATGATCTAACATTTACTAAAGGAATTGTATGTTATTGCATTTTAGGCAATAAAATGTTAATTTTCATATTTACATTTTTAATTTCATTGTTAGTTTATTAACATCTTTTATTTCGAGTACCATATAAGAAAAGCTTAAGTGGGTAAATGAAGATTTGTGCCAATTAATTCAATCCGCTAGAATAATCATTAGTTAAATAATAGTTATTTTTATAATTATTATTTCTGAGAGGTGTTGGAACAACAGCCCAGCAGTTCGTACCTCTGGGTGGATGCAGAGGTTCTTCCTGGAGGACAAAGACAGAGCCAGGAAGTTGTTCACTTCTCCAGTTTCTTTGGCATAAAACTCCATCAGCTTCCTGAGTTCCTCCACAACCTCAACACACACAAGCAGAAAGTTTCAGACCATCTTCCTATAAATCTAACACTTCTCTGTAGAAGCATTTATTACCAAGAAAAATATGCGTATTGTAAATTAATCTGATCCTGACTTACTTTCTCAATTTCAGGAACTGTTCTGGAGCAGTAAATCAACTTGGTCACATCCAGCGGAAACGCCTGAGAAACACGACGGGACGTGACGAAGCGATCAGAACCGAGTCGTGACGTTCAGAAGCTCCGAACATCGAAGATGAAACTCACCCTCTGGTAGGCGACGATGAGCGACAGCAGAGAGATGGTCTTCCCTGTTCCTGACGGCATCTCCAGGACTCCATGACCCTGAACACACAGGATCAGTTCATACACTGCAAAAACACCAAATCCTACCAAGTAATCCTAATTTATAGTTCAAATATCTTACTACACTTGAAATAAGACAAAACCAACTTGCAAGTAAATTTTCAGCTAGAAATAACTTATTTTTAGTCAATAATTCCTTAATATGAATTAAAAAGTTCTAGTTCTTCTGGCTGATTATTACACTTTTACCAATATATTTTTCTCCATGTTATAAGTGAAATAATTTACCAGTGGAACTGAAAATTTTTAGCAGTATTAAGGAATTACTGACTTTAAACAAGTGTACTACCACATTTCCACTGATTAACAATTTTTTGTTTTCTGCAAAAATATAAAGTTTTGCCAAGTATTTTGTCTAATTCTACTGCAAATATATTGAAATAAGACTAAATTAACTCACAGTACCTATTAAAGGAAATATGGGAAACTGTTATAAATCATTAATTCTAATTTTAACATGATTTTAGTGAAATACTCTGCAAATCAACTTTGGTGAAAGTAAATACAGAAATATATCACTAATGAGGTTTACGATACTACTTTTATATAGAATCTCATTTCCAAACTAATTAAGATTTACAAAACAACTGAGTCAGTTTAAAAGGGAAACAAACTGCGTACAATAAGAAAAACCGAACAAGATGGATATTTCTTTCTCTTTTTGAAGAATACTTGATGTCAATCATTAATATTTAACTGGAAAAAAAAATATTTTGACTGGGAAAAAAAACCTACTTTTGCATCCAAAGTCCTCTTAAGCTCCAGCATGTAAGAGTACTGCTCCGGATAGATGTAGTCATAAGGAAAATAGACCAGCAGACCCTCGATGTTCAGCCTGAAATGTGAAAACCAGAGTTTAAGTTGATTCAATTCAGCTAAAACTTCATACATCCAAGCTAAAACTAGCACCCCGCCAGCTCGTGTTCTCCTATTTCAATGATTATTCCACAAAAAAAAACACTCACTTCATTTTAGCGGACTGTTTAACAACGACTCTTCGTTTTTCCTACTTTTCCTGCGTTTAAATGTTCATTTTAAGATGAAAATAAAGAAAAAGAGATGATAACGGGGAGGTTAGCAAAGACAAACTACTGCTGCTGCTGCTGCTTCTTCTATGATTATTTACGTTGTGCGCGCTCTACTGCCCCCAGCAGGACAGACAAGAAACTGCACAATAAATCCAAAAACTTCATTTTTTCAGGATATTTATGTCCATTAGTTTAAATGGTCATCCAAGAAATTACTCAAGCAGCAGTATAAAAGTATTTTGTTAATGAGCAACTGATGATGTCATCAGATAGAGAAAAAACTGCTATTTTATGTGAAACTCTCGTACTTTACAGACTATCATAACAAAATTAACACAAATAAATAACATAATTACAAATTACACATGAATAAAGATTTAAAAAAAAAACTCTTTTAAAGATTTTCGGCATAAAATGTATGAAACCAATATTTAGAGAAGGCAATGTGTAATCTTGATCTCCAAATGGCAGAAACATCTGTGCAAAGAATAACAAAGCTCGTGTCTGAACAAGAGTTCTCACTTCGACATAAACTTTGTTTGTGTCTGATACTTTTTTGATTAAAACTGTCTTGTTCTTCCTTCAGTGACGTTAGTCACATTGGGTAGAGTTTAATGTCCTCTTCAGACATCAGCCTAAATACCAAAACACGTGTGCATTTGTAAAAAAAACGTTGCAAAATATAACATTTTATTTAAAAAAAAAATCTAAACATATATCGGCTGTTGATGCTTTACAGCCTACCCAGGCCTTCCACCGTGAAAATGAAATATGATCTATGATTACTACAGTTACCGTTCAGTGTAGAAAAGAATGATAAAATTACTAAAGTCAGGAACGGTTACTAAATAGTAAGTGTAGTAACTTTATTTAACCGCTAGGGAGCAATAAAAACAACATTTTACAAACTGCAGCTGGTTCCGTGGAGATTTTCACATATTTATAGGTACATCTAAAATATGCATTAAAATAATAAAACAAATAAATTAACAATATTTAATATGAGTAATAAAATAATATTTTTTAAAAATATAAAAAGTCTGAATGTACGTCTAAAAATTATGTATTAAAAAGAATAAAATAAAAATCATTTAACAGTATTAATCATTTTAATGAAATATAAAAACTTTCAATACACATCTGAAAACAATGTATTAAAATAAATTAAAAATAAATAATATTTTATATTTTAATAACAAAAAGTAATATGATGTCAAAAATTGTGCTAAAGATAAATTATTGTTCATATTTAATATTACTTTAATGTAATATATTAATGTCAAGATAATATTTTAATATATTTTACAACAATACACCTAAAAAAGTAATGTATAAGTAAAAAAATGTCTGTTCTCAGTCACTAATCTCAGAAAGTGAAGCTGATTTATTATATTGATTTGTCACATATAGAGTGAAATATTCAATTTATTGTAATTTAGATTACTACAACTTGCAGATCATAAAAACATCTATTTTATTATTTCTCTGATGTAATATCAAAATTTTCTGAGATTATTTTCCAAGTTTTTCATTATCTGTGAGTCTTTATTGTCAAAATAAAAGCCTGAAATATTCAACTGAAATTCCCTTTTTTTAGTCCAATCATTACATAAAAACATTTATTATCCAGATATGTGTGTGAACATCTGTCCAGAAAAGCAGACTTTATTTATAAGAAATATCTTTATTTTAGATTTACAGAGATATTTACAGAATAAAATAACATTTCAATGGTAGGCTACTGTTCATGCTGACAGATTTTAAACAGGAGATCTGCAAATAAAAAACTGAACATTTTTCTGACACTTAAAGCTTCCAAACCATCCAAAAATAAAAACGGAAACATCCTGAGTCTCTTTCTGATAAAACAAAACAACAGTTTATCAACAGTAGCTGGTGACTGAAATCTAAAAACAAAAAAAAAAGTAAAAAATCCAAGGAAACGTAATCGGACAGAAGATCCAGCGAAGTTTCTAATAATAAATGTGCAGCTGTTTGGTTTCCCAGGTCCATCTGGGAATATTTATCACGTGGTCAACCATAAGGGAACAGGAAGTGCTCTGCGCTTCGATGGTGGCAGGTTTCTGTCAGGATTCAGGTTCTGGAGAAGCATCTAAAGCAGCAACAGTTCTGCATTTCATCAGTGGCGCCCCCTAAAGGCCAGACCAGGCAAGGAAAAGTTATCACAATATTTTGTGGTACTATTGTGAAAATGATTTTAAAAAAATAGTGACAAAAAAAACTCTACTATTTATTACTTGTTTTTTTTAGGGAACTATATGGCTATAAATGCATGGATCAGCATTCATGGCACCACAAACACAGATACTGCTTTCAGAAATTGGCTCCCAGCTTCCACATGCAACTTTCTGAAACAAGTGATTTAGCCTATATCACACTTTAGTATAATATCATATTATATTATAATATCTTTTTTGTATGTTTTTTTTTATATGTATGTATTTATGGGGTTTTATGTGTATGTCTTGATGAAAGGAGATGACTGGGGGTCAAACATGTTGCCCCCTCTAGCCCCCCTCTTAGGGACGCCACTGCACTCAGCTAAAGTCTCGGCATGTCTCTCAGAGTCCTGTCCTCACAGCTCGCAGCGGTCGTCCTCGGCCTTATAGCGGTCCATGATGCTCAACACGTCCTCCAGGATGGACGGGCCCAGGTCCAGGTCCAGGTCCAGCCTGGCCAGGGAGTCGGCCGGCTGCAGGCCCAGCACCGGGCAGGGCGAGTCGCTGCGCTCGCTGCTCAGATCCTCGTTGCTCAACCCGGCGTCCGAGTCCAGGCTGAGGCCGCGGCGGACATCCGGGGGTCCACACGTCTCCGACACGGAGTCCTCCGACGACGCCTCCGAGAAGGACCCGGATGACGGGACGAGCCTGCGCACAGCAGACGCCACGCAGACTTCCGGCTGAGCGTCACCCGGCTCACCTGGCTGCTGGTCCAGGTGAAGCCGCGGCGGCTTGGGCGGGGCCTGCTCGTGGGCGACGCACACCGGCATGGACACGGTGCTCTTCAGCAGCCCGTTGGAGGCCTGCTGGTAGCGGCAACCGTTATAGGCGAAGCTGCGGGGCTCCTGCGTGGCGGCCCGGTCCACGCTGTGCGAGCGCGCGTGGCCGTGGCCCGGAAGCATGTCCATCTTCCCCTGGAGGAAGCCCACGTCTCCAAACATGTCCCCCTCGCCTTCCGGTCCCACGTGCGCACTGTGGCGCACGTCCCCCAGCGGGGGGCTGATCATGTCCCCAGACAGGACGTCACGCAGCCGCAGCTTCTTCCCTTTCTTTGGGGTTGTAGTTTTTAGGTAGATTGGTGTCTTTGCTGGCATTCTTGCTTTTTAAAACGTGTCTGGCTAAAAGCAGAAGACTGAAGCAAATGTTTGACTCGAATCAGCTTCCTCTCCTGCACAGAAGAGCCATATCCGGGTAAAAAACGCGATGCTGTCTGCAGAAACTTCAGGAATGTGGCAACAAAACCCCGGAGATCTGGGAGAGAAAACAGAAAGAAAAATGAATCAAAAAGAGGTGAAGAGGAAAAACAACAAGGAGAATTTATCGGCTTCCCTCCAGAGAAAGACATTTGAAAACTGCAAAAAACTAAAAGTATTTTAGACCAGTTTGCAGTGCACACATTAGTACAAGAAAACAAAACTAACTTACAAGTAACTTGTTTTAGTAAATAAATCCTTAATACTGATGAAAATGTTTTTGTGTCACATTTAGAATCACCCACCACACACACTTTCTTCAAATCGAACAAATTTGGTGTCAAATGTTTGTGCTGCTATAAAATAATAATAATAATAATAATAATAATAATAATAAAGTTTCCAGAGGTCATCATCAATATCTGCGCAAACAAAAACATTTGCTGCACAAACACAGTCGAGTTGATTTGGTTGACCTTTCATGACCTCTGGAAACATTTATTGACTTCGTTAAACTGATAAACAGCAGCATTAAAATAAAATGTCCAGAGAAAAAGCATTTGGGATCAACTTTGTTAAATGTGGAAAAGGTGAGAGCAACGTTACTCAGGTTCAGATTAGATTAAATAATTTTTTCACCAATATTAAGGAATTATTGACTTTAAAAGCTGAACAGCAGTTGTCAGCTTTAGCTGACAACTGCTGTTCAAAAACAACTGCTGTTCACCAAGTATTCAAAATACTTGGTTCAATACTTGGTTCAAAATTCAGTGGATTTTGTGTTTTTGCAGTGCAGAGTGAAACAGCAGGTTCAAAGTTTCTGCTTTCTTTCTCTTATCGCCTCCAGAGACGGCGGAGCATGTGACGGGTTCACGGCCGGGTCGTCTCCACGGAATGTTCAAGGAACAACAGAACTGACCTTTTTCTGACCCCTGATATCTTATCGATTCATAACTATTTAAATTCATTTTACAGGAAAAGCCAAAAACTTCTCAGTGAATTTCGCAGAAATGTTGCAGAAACAAAAAAACGAGTTTGGATTTTTTACATTTTGTATGTTTCTGTGCAGGAATGAAGCACCAACTTGAGATGATATTCTGGTATCCATCACATGACAGCAGAGATACGGAAAATACTTGAAAAAGGTTCATTTTAATTGATTTTCTCTGCAAAAACGCAAACTATTACCAAGCATTCCGGTCTAGTTTCTAGTGCAAATATTTTATTACACTTGAAATAAAACAAAACTAATTTACAAGTAACTTTTTATGCTAACAGAGATTTATTTAAGTGAATAATTCATTAATATTGATATTGATTGAAAGTATTACTGGCGGATTATTTCACTTGCAAAATGGGAAAAATATCAGGGATGTCCAAAGTGTGGCACAGGGGCCATTTGCAGCCCTCTGAATGATTTTGTTTGGCCCCTCTGCCCACTGAGGGCCTAGTGGAGAACAAAACGCCAAGAGAGAAAAGAGAAAATCAATAAATAATGCAAATGGAAATTATTAATTCATCAGGAAATTAATCGATTTGTTGCTGATTTGAAGTCTTGGTGAGATGAGAAATTCCTTTTAGTTAATGATTCTAGCAAACTATTGGACCAAAACATCGACAATAACTAGAAAAATCTGTTAATTATTTCTTTAGAAGAAGCAGAGCTCCCAAAAATGTACTGAAGAGTAAAAATGTATTTAGTAAAAAGTATTCTGCATGTTTCCTTCAACAAACAGCTGATGAGACTTTAACAGAAACTGCAGGTCTGTGTCTCAATCTGGTCAATTAAAACATGTTTGTTTTTCATTCAGAAAGCAGAGAATCCAGAAATTTTACTCCAGTGAGAGAAAAGATACTTCATAACAAAATGACTCAAAGTGCAGCGTAGTAAAAATACTTGCACAAGAACATTTTTCTGTAAAGTCACTCAGTAAATGTAATGGAGTTGCTGCAACCAGTTACTACTGGTTGCTGACATCCGTCTGGTTGCTGCTGGCCAGCGACGGAATGAGAAAGTTGCATCAAGCATTGAGCAACTTTTCAGCTTTGTGGAAAACAAGACAGGATTTGTTTGAGCGACTGTTCAACGTTGCAAACGAGTCTGTCGCAAATTCCATAGAAGAAAAACCGCAACCTGGACCGGTTCATGCCCGTAAAACTGGATTAATCTAATTACTGCAGCAAAGCGATTTCCACAGACGCCTGCCTCTGCAGCGAGCAGCAACGCAGCGTCTGAAACGGCCGTCCGGTCCGATTGAAGCGGAGAACAACAACAATCAGAGGTCAGCCTTCCTGTCAACACAAAGAGCAATAAACTCCTCGAGTCCGAACCAAATTCTGGAACAAATGAATCATGTGGATTCCTAACGACGTTGATGCCGAGCTCATAAACACACCCAGACCTAAATCTGGAACAAGTTTGACCACAACAAGAGAGAAACGAACCAGTCAGAACCGGCCCAGACAAACCGGTGAAGCAACACTTTCTCCGTAAACTTGGACGTTTTGCTGCAAAGCTGCAAAGATTTCAGCTTTCCAGCCAAACAGTGACACAGAAAAGGCAGTTTCATCATGTTTAAAAGGGATGAATAATAAAGCATCACTCAAGAGAAGAATCTTAAATGTGATTTAATTTAAAGAAATGTAATCAACTGGGTGCTACACTGCAAAAACACAAAAATCTTACCAAGTATTTTTGGTCTCGTTTGTAAACATCTTAGAAATAAGACTAAACTAACATACAAGTAACTTTTCAGTAAGATATAGAAACTTGTTTTAAGTCAATAATTTTGTAGATTATTTCATTTATAACACTAAATTTTTCCCATAAGTAAAATAATCTGCCAGTGTTGCTATTGGTTTATTATCAACATTAAACAAGCTAACATATCTTACTGAAAAGTTACGTGATACTTTTGTTTGATTTCCAGATATTTGCACTTCAAACTAAACCAGAATTACTTGGTGACATTTTCTGTTTTTGCAGTGTAGGCAGGAATAAACTGGATTCAAACTCACAATAATCGATGACACGTTTTCAGATACGATCATTTATCCCATCCAGTGTCTGTTTGATTCCTAAAACCCAACATCCTTTGCAACTGGCAGCGACTTTATAGCCAAACTAAACCTTATTTGTTAATTTTCTGTCCACCATAAAACCCTATAAAACCATTTTATTGGTTTTTCAGTCTGTCCTCTCTGCCTAAGCCACTATTACTCCTGTTATTTCATTAAGACAGATGTCAGTATGTCCTAAAACACACTTGTACTAAACATAAAATACATAAAAACTTAACTTAGATTACATACCTGCATCTTAACATTGAGCTTTAACAAAAAGGTCAAACATATGATTTCTGATACAGTTTTCAAAAATCACAACGTCATCAGCAAACCTAGTGTTTTTGATGATAGCTCTGTTGCATCAAAAAATACAACAAAGCTGGAAGTGAAGAGTTTTCAAATGAGCCGTGTGTATTTTTTTTTAAAGACACACAACTATATATTTTTGGTATCAATAAATACGTGATTGTAGGGCTGAAACCGTATCGTGATATAAGCGTTTAATGTCGGTCGATATTGATAATCGTCGATTCGTTTTTCTGTTTTAAGTATGTTAAATTCTGGTTTTCACTTTACACCGTAATCTTTTATTTTTAGGCAGTTATGAAACGTGGCGCAGAAACATTCAGCTGCTGCTGCACAAGTTACTCAAAAAGGCAGGTTGTTGCAAGGAGCCGAAGAGCGAGCGAGTTGGTTGATTCCACCAAACTAACTCGGCTAGCTGAGAGGCTAAAGTCTTTCCTCTGCATCTCCCAGAATGCTGTGCGGTTCCGGATCTCAGTTCATTGAATATACATTGAATATTGAATGTGTTATGAATTATTTATTGATTTTGATTCATGCGTGCATCTTTTCTCTCTGAAACTGTTAGATTTTATAATACACACACAGACTCTAGAGCTGTGCATGTTGGATATACTGTATTTTTAATTATAAAATGAGCGTCTATGTGTGTCTCTTATTTATTCTTGTGTGTTTATTATTTATTTATTTGTAAATTTTAATGTGTGCTATCCTGGGACAAACAAATGTTCCCTCCTCGGGATCAATAAAGTCTTATTTTATCTTAATGTATATTGTTATTGATTTGTTGTCCAGCCCTACAGGATTTTATCATGATTTTATTATGACTAATAACAAAAACATAAATAACTTTGAGAAGTTATTTCTCAAAGTTACAGTCCTTTTCTGTTTAGTTTAGAGCTAAATTACGACACCAGCTTAACTCCTCATGAAGGAAGGTTCGCCGCCGTCTCGGCACTTCGTGCATCACCTTTCCTGGAAGCAGCAATCTGGGACAAGCGCTGATGATGCAATCAGCCACAGAGGAGGAGGAGGAGGAGGAGGAGGAAGAGGAGGAGGAGGAAGAGGAGGAGGAGGAAGAGAAGGAGGAGGAGGAGGAGGAAGAGGAGGAGGAGGAAGGAGAGGAGACTGATCCAACATCTGTTTCTGCTCTCAGGCTCCATTTGTTTCCTGACTCTGCTTAAAAGCCACCGTTGAGCTCCTCCTCCTCATCATCATCATCATCATGTGGGACAAACAGTATTGTTGTTGTTCCTCTGCATGTCGCTGCAAAGCTGCACAGCAGGCCACAGTTGGGCAAAACCTGTCTGCTAATCCGTTTGTTTTGTTTTCTACAGTAAAGGAAAGCTGATTTATTTGTGGTTTGGTTAATGTGGTTGTTTTTGCCAATAGCAGGTTGTTTGATGCGTTTAATGTTTCAAAAAAACTTCCAAACTTGCGACTGAGAACTTGCATTGACAGAGAAAAATGAAAAGGCGCAGAGGAAAGCCTGCATAATGTGAAAGTCAGGTTCTAATTTCTGAGATTGGGAAACTGCTCATGCACACTAAATAAACAGTCGGCTAAATAAACAGTCTTTAGTGGCTGTTCGACCCTCACTTCCTGCAAAAACACAAAGATGTAAGAGTTTTTGTCTCGTTTCTAACATCTCTTTACACTTCAAAAAAAAAAGAAAAAAAAAAGGCAACGCTAACTTTCAGGAATCTTCAGCAATAAATTGATCATTTTAAATCAATACTTAATATCACAGAAAAAAAATCTAGTTCAGCTGGCAGATTATTTCACTTTGAACAACAATAATATAAACATTTGTTTAGATTATTGAACCTGATTTTTCAACAAGAAAAAGGCATTATTGTTTTAAGTCAATAATGCCTCTGAAATGATTTTTAAAAATTACTAGTTTCAAGATTATTTCAAGATAATATAACAAGATATTTTTCCCATGTTGTAGAAGTTTTTCATCCACATTAAGGAACAATGTTCTTAAAAGAAGCTCCTACTTTACTGAAAACGTACTTGTTTTTGCTTAATTTAATTGCGCTAAAATATTTACATAGAAAATAGACCAAAAATACTTGGTAAGATTTTGTGTTTTTGCAGTGTATGTCTTTCTATATAGTTTTAGCAAGAAATCCATGTTTTAACCGTTAAATCTGTTCATACCAAGGCTTTTCATTGTGTGGTCTAATTAATAACGAGATATCACATGTTGGCTTCAGAGCCACATAAAGATGGCTGCAAAGTCAGCCTTCTATCATATGAAGAACATTTCTGGGATTAAAGGAATAATATCTCAACACAATCTAGAGAAACTTGCAGTGATAATAATCACATGACCAAACAGATACCAATACAAACAAAAATCATTATTTTCTCTGAACACTTCAGTAGGGCAGTATAGTCAACAAATTTCCACATAAACACTTATTTTGCATCACATGAGTCTTGTGACCTACAACAGGATGTTACTACTGGTAGAAACCATGATGAGAAGATGACAGGAAGTAGCTGAAGGATGATGGCACAGCATTTTTCTTTTATCACAAACTTATTCAGTGATCTTAACTTTGTTTTCTATTTAATGGAAATACAGCAATTGCAAAATTGCAGCGTTTCCTTTAACTTGAATTTGCTTAAAGGAAAAAAACGGCCATTTTGACAAAACTCTTTTCTCAATAAAAAGTTTTGGCACTAGGATTCCGTGGTTTTTTTCAGCGACATCAAAATTGGTTTATTTCTCAAAACTGCAATAGCAACACTTCTTTTGCTTCAGAGGAGTGACATAACAACAACCAGATGTTACTACTGACAGAAACAATGAGGAAAACGACAACAAGAAGTAGTTGAAGGATGATGCCTCGGCATGTTTTTGCTTGCAATAATGATTTACTGCAAACCAACTTATTCACGTGTGATTTTATTAGCATTTCTTATTTAATGAAAACACAGCAATTGCGAAATTACGTGTCTTAGACAGTTGTGGAATATTGTAAGATTTTGCACACATTTATAAACGCAGCTGTTGTCCAACTCAGCCATCCTCCAAAAAGTGACATCTTCCTTCTCCCGTAAAGTGATGACTACATGTGCTGCTTACACGTTGAATCAGCTCAGGTTGTGATTCACGTCTGCTTCACATGTTGCAAAATACTTCAGAGGAGCAGCTTTTCAGTTTTCCATTGCCTCGCTTTGTTGCCTTTCCCCTAATTGGAACAGTTTAACTGGTCCCAGCAGCTGGTGGAGTGTGTCCAGTTTTAAAAAAAAGGCTGTGATCAGAGGAACAAAGTGAAGGTTTAATTAACTTCCTCAGCTCTCATACCCTGCGTGTTATGTAACTGCAGCCAGTGCTGAGATCATGCAGGTTCTCCTGAAGTTTCCCCACCTGACTGATTTCATTCCCCCACAGGGAAAAATCCACCAGTTTCATTCTTCACATGATTTCCTCCTTTAATAATTCACTTCTAGTTCATTTCATCAACTTTGACGCATTTAAAGCTGTTCTATAAATTAGATTGTAGTAACCAGTTATAGTCCTTTCAATAGCTAGAAGGAGAAATGTTGTAAAAATATGAATAAAATGACATTTTTCTTGCAAAAACGCAGTGAAAAGCGTAAAGCTGAGACTTTTCCTGCCTGGTGTCACACAAAGGGAGTGTGACACGCAGCCTGCCAGAAGCTTTTATGTCAACAAATGAAATGTAACACAGGTCACTTTTTGCTCTTTTTGTTCTCCATATAATAGAGACACAAACCCCCCGCTGGGCAGCGGCGACCAGCCACACATTTCAGCGCATTAAAAGACCAACAAAAACACAGAAAACAGTCATTTAAAGCCGGTATTTACCTCAAGAATAAAATCGGTCTTTTCTCCTGGGAAATCACGGCGGGTTTGTGTTTTTAAGTCCAACAATCCACGGACACGAAGGAGAGTTTCCTGAAGGGATAAACCTCTTACTGACGGGTCGTTACTGTCTGAGAAAGTTAAAGTGGATCAGCTGCCCAGCTGAGGAGAGAGAGAGGCGGTAAATCAGGTCAGCCGGAGGGAAAGAGGGGGACTTCCGGTTTGGGATTTCAAAATAAGGTCAGAATCTAAAAGACGATTTATTTATTTATTTATTTTTGGTTATAGATTTTATAGGTAATAATTTTTTCAATGTCAAAAAATGTAACCTGGTCAAAAAAAATTGAAGTTTGTAAACTATTTTAAATCTATCTATCTATCTATCTATCTATCTATCTATCTATCTATCTATCTATCTATCTATCTATCTATCTATCTATCTATCTATCTATCTATCTATCTATCTATCTATCTATCTATCTATCTATTTTTTCTGACACTGAAGTTTAACCATCCGTCATCCATCCATACCTAATATATGTATTATAGAACAGCAACAAACATGGGGTGGCTGTTATGTTTTTATTTTGAAGGGCCACCGTCGCTGTTTCCGGTTTTGGCCTCTTCAACATTCACCTACTTGATTATTCAGACTTCAAAATCCTCAGATAACCAATCAAATCCCAAAGTTATCGATAGAAACTAATCAAAACTGATCAGGAGCAATGACTTTTCTACATCAGATGTTTCACTTCAACAAAGGTCAAAGGTTGTGAAATGAAAGTTAGTCAAACTGCCAGATGGAAGGAGCTGAATGTGTTTCAGTGACGATTAGAAGGTCAATTCTGCTGCTTTGTTTTTATTATTTCAAGCAGAAGTAAAAGTGAACCAGGTCCACTTCCACTGGGGTAATTATGGAGGCTTTTTACTGCCTGCGTGGAGGTGAGGAGAGCCATGAGCTTTAATTTGATTAGCAGCAGGAGCAAATACACAGAGCCACTGTTCAGGATCCAAACCAGAACCGGAACCGAGCCAGGATGGACTGGGAGAAAAAAAACACTCCAGAAATAACCTGAGAGCCAGAAGAGCTTTGAAAGCTGAACTCATTCAGTTGTTTTCTTACAGATTTCCCTGAATGTGAGTCAAACACAACATTTTCCCCACAGAGCCAGGCAGTCTGCCCATTACTGGCAGTTTTTCTGCTCTTAAATGTGCCTTAAAATCTTTATTTGCTGGCGAAGCTTAACCTCCAGGATTGTTGCTGCTGCTGCTGCTGCGTAATTACAGTGAGGTAATGAGGATTTAACAAATGGAGAATGCAGATGCATGCTGTTTGCAGGTCACACTGCAGACGCATCGTGTTTACAGCCCCTGAAGGAACCTTCAAGCCAAATTAAACTTGGTTCCCTCCGGCAAAGAAAGATGCGTTGGTTGGTGGAATAACCGATTAACTTCTTACAAGGTTGCAAAAAATGGTCTTGCACTGCAAAACCGCAAGACCAAGTAATTTTGCTGTAGTTCAGAGTGTCAATATTGCATTAGCTGAAATAAGACAAAACATTTCAATCCGAGAATCAAAACACTTTCGGTAGAAAAATACATTTTACAGACATAGATTTTGTTCCTTAAAATGGAAAAAAAGTTTTATTCTCAGACTTTCTCTTTTGTTTGAGACTAACTTGTTATTAAAATGAATAATTACTTCAAGTTTTTGGGTCTTTCATGCTACAAATTACTCCAGTGCACTGCAAAAACACAAAATCTTACTTTTGGTCGAGTTTTTTGTGGAAATGTCTTAGTACACTTGAAAAAAGACAAAACTAACTTACAAGTAACTTTTTATTAATTTATAGGACATTGTTTTAAGTCAATAATTCCATAAAATTGATGAAAAAGTTTTATTTCCTTTATCAGATTATTTCATTTGTAACGCAGGAAAAATGTCTTATTATAAGTGGAATAATCTGCCACAGGAATTTAATCAATATTAATGAATTATTGACTGAAACAAGCTCATGCATCTTGCTTGTGAGTTAGCTTTGTTTTATTTCCACTGGAACTAGACAGAAATGCTGTTTAGTGTTTTGCAGTGTGGCAGTTTAGCGTTGTTGCGCTGCGTCCCGCTCCTGCAGCATTTGGGGTTTCTGAAATGACTTCAAACAAAGCTGGATTATCTCCATTGCTCTCACTCTCTGCACAGGCTGGAATGTGAGATAAGAGGAAAGTTACACAACTTCTCTGACAGATGTGGTTATATCACACAGCAGGAATTACACACAGAAATGACCTCAGTTAATCAAATCAAGATGAGGTGGGTCCATGAGAAGAGCACAAAGAAAGTCCTGCAGAAGGCCTCCAGCTCCCCCCGCTGTGGAGGGACCCCATGCCAAGACCCCTGGAGGGGAAACAGAGTGAAGCACTGCAAAAACACAAACTCTGACCAAGTATTTGTGTCTGGTTTCAAATGCAAATATCCGAAGCTAACTTAGAAACAGCTTTTCAGTAAAGAGGAGATGGTTTCAAGCCAATAATTCCTTCATGTTGCTGAAAAGTTAATGCAGATTATTCCACTTATAGCCGTCACCTTCGCAACAAACTTCTAATTTTGTTCCAGTTATTCGTGTGAAAACTGCGGATCAAGGAGAAGAAAGGGGATTTAACTTTTCCTGCTGCTCGGAAAACATGTCAGCACATGAGTCAGTCCCTCTGCTGACGTTTCCACGTCGTTGTGAAACACATTTGACCAGGTGGAGCAAATTTGTCACCGTGAAATTGTTCATTTCACAATTAAAGATTACGAGGAGATTATGGTGGGAAAAAAAATCCCACGCTTGAATCCGATTCAGTCTGCATCCCTGTGAGTTCACATATCCGCCGCTGACTCATGCAGGGAAACAGTCAAAAGGCTGATGTCACCTAAATAGCTCATTTTGCTGGAGTTGTGTATCATAGTTTGGTCCTGATCTGCGGCTTCAAATCAAGAATGACACACTTACTGTATTTGTTATTTCTGGGAATACGTATCATCGCGTTCCACCTCTATAACATTTAAAAACCAAGCTTCCTGTAGCTGCATTTCCACTGAGCAGAAAACCAAAAGAATTCACTGAAATCTGCAGAGTGTAACTCTTATAAACATATTGTTACATGTTTGTTGAAGCTTTCACCATGTTGAGGAAGAAGCTGATGATCCAGGTTGGAACGAAGAATGAATGATGAATTTAATGAGGAAGTCAGAAATACAAAGTCCAGGCAGCACAGAATGAGCTAAAAGCTCATCAACTGGTAGCAACTGGTGGCTCAACAGACGACAGCAAACAAGACATAAGATCTGACAAGACGAGGCTGCTGGACACGACAGATTAGACAAGGACCCGACAAGGAACAAGGTGGGACTAAATCCACAGGGAAACGAGACACAGCTGGGAACAATCAAGGCTAGACAGGAAAACATGGAGGCTAAATTTACTGATAATGACAGAAACCTAAATTAACACAGAGCAAAATCCCAAATCCTCACAATGAGGCAGATAATCTATGAAAAAATCAAGCTGCTCTGTCTTCTCCCAATGCTACTGTAAACAACCAATCAGAGCCGGCAGTAGGCGGGTCTTAGCACTCCTCCACTTAGCACAGCTTGTCATAAATGCTAAGGTTAGCTAGCATGGCCAATGATGACGGTAGATAAACAGTCTTCCTGCAGCAGTAAGTTGTTTCTTCACCATAAACACATTGATTGACAGCGCTAAGTCCCGCCTCCTGGCTCTGATTGGATGTTTTTGGTGCTTTTCTTTAGATGGGAAGAGCAGATTTTTCACAGATTACCTGCCTCACATTAAGCTGTCCCAACATGGCGACAGTTTTAATAAATATATAAAAAACATATTTTTGATAACAGTTACATAATGCAGCTTTAATGGAAACATCAGTTTTGAAAAACTGTGACAAAAATCAAAAGTTTTGAGATGAATTGCCGAAATCTTGTAGAAAATCTTAGAAATGTTCAGGAAGTTTCAAGTTGTGAAGCTCAGAAATGTCCAATTTTTGTTCTAGAAAATTTCTGGAGCAAATATTTGTCAACATTTTTGTTTTTTCCAGCAAATTTTAAACTTCTCAAACTCAGGAATGTCTCATTTTTTCCTACAAAATTTCTCACTGAAATTTACTCCACGCTGCCGTCGTCATCCAGACAGACCGATATTATTCCTTTTGACGGTCCCCACATTTTTACTTTTTATTTAAATTGTCATTTAAAAAAAGATCCTTGAAACTCTGTTGGCCTCTGGAGGCTGAATCACATCCTCACTCTGATTCCGACACGTTTTCTTTCCATTTCCGAGTCGAGAAAGCCATGAGTGACTCACAGGGGAGACACAGTGACCTCACAGGCAGGAATTCTGGGAATCTCTTCGTAAATGAGGCTCCATGTGTTTCCACTCAGTTTTCAGGGATCGGAGCAAAACCGCTGAGCTTCGATGGAGGAGGAACAGAAAACACTCTGAAAGGCGAGGAAGGAAAACGCCAATTCCTCTCAATAAGAATATCGAAATATTCTGGGTTTCGATGAGAGTTTGACTGTATCGTGCAAAAAAGAAGAGGAAAAAGAAAAAGTAAATAATTGTAATCAGGTAAAATGTTGGAATCTGTAACTGTGGCAAGAAGATTTTTAGTTTTTCTGACTGGGAGGAGCTGATCAGCGTCTGAACAGCTCAGACGACTCCTGATGAAGAGGCTTCATGGACGCAGAGCAGCAAGAAAACCACAAAAACACAAAATATCACGTATTTTATTACACACAAAACAAGTCAAAACTTAATTAGCACATTTTTAGCAGCGTACAGAAGTTTGTTTTAGGTGAACAATTTCATGATATTGATGAAAATATATTAGATTATTTCACTGACATGGGAAAAAATAATCTGCCAGTGGAACGAGAAATTTTCTTAAAATCACTATTTAAGAATATTTAAAACAAGCTGCGATATTTTGCTGAAAAGTTACTTTGTCTTATTTCCAGTAAAGCGAAGGAGACGGATTATCAGAGCTTTCTGACAACTGACGACTTCTTGAAACAACCTACGTATTCTCCTTTTGCTCTGAGCAGTTTTTTGGTGGCGTGTCTCGTTTTGACGTATCCATGAAGAATGAT